TCATGATAATGTTGTTATTATCGTTTCGTTTGTATGCTCGTCTCTCAAATGTTTCGGCTCGTTTGTATCGTCGGTCACGTACGTCTTGGTCTCGTTTATATCACGATTCTAGACGGTCCAGCCTTATCTGTTCAAGATTCGTACGTCCTCTTTCATTTTGATTGCGTGTTTCACACGTCGTTGATAAGGTATCCGCATGCACGGTCTGTCTCGTTTATTCAGTTCCGTTTTAACTGTGGGTCGTCGGATCTCCACGTGTGCTTCGTTTGTACTTTCCGCCGCACACCGTATATACCGGGCCCGTCTGTAATACGTGCAAACGAAGGTTCGTTCTATCGCACCGATTTGGTTTGCTTCCATCTCAATCTAATATCATCGTCTCGCCTCTGCAGTCTCGGTGCCTCACACCCGCAATAAAAAGCCACGCCTGGACAGGGCAAGAGCGGACTTTAACAATCACACTACATTCAAAACAAAAGCGCTCGAGAGCGCTCAGCTCCGCCGTGACGGTCACCTCCTTTAAGGTGCACGGGGGGGAGGGTGGGGGAGCTATGAAGAGAATCCGTGGGAGCCAGCTGATACAATTACCATATTGTAGCAGCCGGGGTAAGTCCCGCGACCTGCCAAGCGGGCCTGCGACACTTTATTACGTGGCATCAATGCGCACGCACCTAGCCTGGCACACGAGCTGTGGTGACATGCCCCATGCCCGTCAACTTCTTGGCGAACTGCGGCGGTTCTTGCTCGGCAGGTGGGTGAGGAAGTGGGATGAGCGGGGGCGGCTGGGTTCCAATGCCCCCACTTGAATCCCTGCGGGCCCAGTGACCGCATCCCCCCCCCCCCAAGCCCCGCAGACAATCCAGGCCAACGCAGGCCCCGACTCGGGCCTAGCACCTACCCCCGGCGCCGCTCGGTGGGCTAGGGGAGTGGGGGGGGTAGGGGTGTAAGGGAGAACTGACCGGTGGAAGAGCGTGCGGTACATCTGGTGCGCCTCGTAGTAGTCTCCGCGCTCCACGCTGGCGCGGAGCTTCCCCTCCACGCGCTGGACGCCGCCCCGAGCCGACGCAGCGGCGGCGGCGGCGGCGCTGCCGCCCGCATCGCCGCCTTGGCCCTCCGTCTTCTCCGCCATAGTCTCGAGAATGGACGGGAATCGATTCCGCGTTGTTATCGATTAGCCGTATGTCGATTCCGTCGTTGCATCAGGGCCGGCGGGAATCGATTTGCGATCCGTAGACGTCGATTTTTCGCCGTTGTGTTCAAGTGAAGGGGGTTCGATTCTAGTTGAGATGTCGATTTAGGGATCTATCGATGTCGAAATTACATTCGAGCTAACGAGAATCTATTTGGGTGACTTAGTGTCCTTAGCGATAACCTCGATTCCTTGTGGGCAATGTAATGTTAGCGATTCCTCAAGATTGGTGCCATTGGATGAGATCGATTCATAGGATTATTATGGGCCGTGGTCGATTTAACGATTAGACGGGAAATATCGATTAATCGAGTTTGTTTAGCGAATGTCAATGAATGGATGTCTTGATTCATCAATACCTTATTGAATCGATGAATTATAGATATCCGGAGGAATACATTTTCTTACAATTTCTATATTTGATATTTAACGGTTCGCTACTCTAGTTATCGATTCGTTGTCACCGTTGACGCGTATCGTTTCCGCGATTTTATCTAGACCAGTGGTTCTTAACCTTGTTGGAGGTACCGAACCCCACCAGTTTCATATGCGCATTCACCGAACCCCTCTTTAGTGAAAAATAAAATGTGATTTTTTTCAAATTCAAGACATAGATATGTTTTTTACTGGTACACAAAATGAGCCGTGCATGAACATTACCTTGTTCAAAGAATAAAACCAACACAATGCATAAACTCACAACAAATTACATACCTGGAAATCAATGTGACTTCTGCTGTTGCCTTTGAGAGATCAGTTCAGATATGCGTGGCTTCACCTTGGCAAGTGCCACTCTCATGTCATTTTCACAGCAAAGTCTGTTCCTTTTCTTCGTTTTTATGTCCAGCATCCTCGAAAAGGATTGCTTACAAAGATATGTTGTAACAAATGGTATAAAAAAAATCCAGGGCTTTCTTAGCAATAACTGGATACTTGTTCATTTGTCGACACCAAAACGTTGAGAGCGTTGTTCTGAAGAGTTGCTGTTGAACCTGGCTCTGCTGAATTTCAATGATTTCGTTGAGGAATTCATCATTGACATCTGCTGTTTCAACAGCAAACGTGAACGGCTGTCTCACCCATGCTGGATATGACTCTCTTGTAGGGAAATATCCGTCGAGAGACTTTGCAAGCTCATCTAAGTGCGTGGCAATTGTTTGCTTCAGTTCCGTGGATACAGAAATATCTCCGATTCCAGACACATCTTCGATCTTACTTGCACAGTCGTCCAGAAGCGGGAAGTTTGCGAAGTTATTGTTCTCTGTTCGTCGTTTCCATAACGGTAGCTTTTTTTGAAAAGCCTTCAGGTGTTCTTCCGCTTCCATGATATTGACTCCACCACCCTGCATCTGCTGATTGAGATGATTGAGAGCTGCGAATATATCAGCCATGTACGCTAAAATTAGAATGAACTCAGGATTTTTGAAGCAATCTGCATGGCAGTGTTGGTGCTCTTGCAAAAACAGGGCTAATTCCACACGCATGGCAAAAACACGATTCAGCACCTGTCCCCGGGATAACCACCGAATATTAGAATGGAGCAGAAGTACCTCAAATTCAGAGCCCATTTCTTTACACAGCTCACTGAAGATGCGGTGCCTCAGAGCACTTTTTCGCACATAGTTCACACATTCCACCACAGTTTTTAATACTTCTGCCATTTTTGGAGGTAAGGTTTTTGTTGCCAACGCATGCCTGTGCAGAATACAATGCGTCACAATGATGTGTGGTGCATCGGCCTTTACTAGCGCACCAAAAACAGACTTTCTTCCCAGCATGACTGGAGCTCCGTCCGTACAAACTGCAGAAACCATATCCCATGAAAGATTGTTGTCTCTGAAGAAGTCATCCACAAGCTTCTTCACATCGGCTGCCTTCGTTGTTGTTGTAAGAGGCTTACAAAATAAAAACTCTTCTTTTATCATGTCGTCTTTCACATAGCGTACAAAAACAGCAAGCTGGCTTAGATCAGAAACGTCTGTGGTTTCGTCGAGTTGAAGGCTGAATTTTGCCGGGCTTGAAATCAGATCCGCGACTACTTGAGCCAAGATGTCTTTACTCATGTCTTCTATTCTGTCACTGACGGTGTCATTTGAAAGGGGAATTTGGGATAATTTACCTTCGGCCGCTGTTCCGAGTATCAGATTCGCCATCTTTAATGCAGCTGGTTTCACAAGTGTTTCACCAATGGTGTGTGGCTTGCCCTGCTTTGCGATCAGGTAAGCAACTTCGTACGATGCTGTCAGGATCGGTTTGTTAACAGGTACAAATCCAAGAGCAGGCAGAGTGGCCCTTTCATCGAATCTGGCTCTCTTCACCCTGAATTCAGCAAGTGTTGTGTTCTTGTATTCCCCGTCTCCATGCAGCTTCAAGAAGTGTTCCTTTAGTTTTGCCGGTGCAAGACTAGAGTTGCTCAACTTGGCGTTGCAAATCATGCAGATAGGATGCTCACTCCCATCACGTTCCGTGATACATGAGAATCCATGTTGTACATATTCGTCCGACCACTTTCTTCTTTTGCCCGACATAGTTAGTATGGATAAAATATTAAAGAAATCACACGACGTACGACAACAACAGTCACACGTTGACTACTGAGTACGCACTAAATTCCCCGCAGCGCTGATTGGCCAAGCAGTGTAGCATGATCATCTGCAGCCAGTGATGGCCAAGCGGGCCGTGTGTGTCATCACAAATTTACACAATAATTCAAGTGTGTCCGGACCTCCGTGGCGGGGGCTCTGCCGAACCCCTGAGATCGACTCACCGAACCCCTGGGGTTCGATCGAACCCAGGTTAAGAACCACTGATCTAGACTTTACTCGATTAGGGAGACGATCATTTCGGACGATTCATCATCCTCCAGCCCTACGCACCTTGCCATTTCAGAATCTGAATATTTATTTTACACCGGATGAATCCGATGACCTACAAAGCTCTTTTTTCTTCACAGATGTGAATGACTGACCAAGCTGAAACCTGGCGTCGCAAATTCTAGTTTTTTTGTGTAGCCAAATGAAGATTAATAATTGATTGTTGGGTCGATATTGCTTAGACCATCAACTCTCCACTGCGCCTTGAGAAGTCGATTCAATCAGAACTCAGTCGATGTGGATCTTATTTTGTATTTTTTTTAATACTTCGCCTGAACTGAAGGCGTTTCTAATAAGCGATAACACAAAAAAGAGATTGATTAATATGGTAGGGTTCGTGCAATTGGCATGGGATGATCGTGGTCCTGTTTAGCCAGTTGCCCGGATATTTCAGACGTGAGCACAACAAAAGCAACAGATTTTTTTTTAAACCCCATCAATATTGCAGCAAAAACGAGTACAGCAGGGTCCTTAAAGAATATTGCACAAATAACAAACGGACCTTAACGAATCACACCAGAAAAATTAAGGCACAGATGCACGTAAGCCTAATTTTAGTCGAACATGTTGACGCCACGATGGCTAGGAGATGTTAACTACCTCGCCTGGTATACAGGAGGTCGTGGGTTCGATCCAGACCCTGACGCCTGCTGCTGTATATTTGGAGTTTGCGGTCTCTCATCATCATCACGGTGGCTAGGAGATGTTAACTACCTCGCCTGGTACACAGGAGGTCGTGGGTTCGAAACCAGACCCTGATACCTGCTGTGTATTTGGAGTTTTCGTGTCTCTTTTTCTCCCCGTGGCCGCGTGGATTTTTCTCCGGGTCCTCTGGTTTTTTCCTTCCACGTTTAGAATCAACATCACCGCACGTTTAGAGTGTTTGACTGCAGTAAATATTCCACTTGATAAGCCGCTTCGTTGAGCTGTCATTTGTGATATAGCCAAGTCGCTTAGGGGCTGTCCATAAATGACGTCACGCACCTGGGGGGGGGGGGGGGGTCAGACATTTGTGACGATGTGTGACGATGGAGGGGGGGTTTGAGAAATGTGACGTCACATCAAAATGCGCAACTTTAAATGAATACAGACAACACGTTCTACTTAATTAAATAGACTTTTTAATAAATATTTCTCCTACAACATCAGAGTGCAGCGCCACATTAAATACGCACTACAATGACAATAGTTTAAAGCGATTTGAAGCATGTTTTATTTTTTTTGGGGGGGGGGGGGCAGAGCTTTGTGACGTCATATTTGAGGGGGGGGTCTGACTTTTTGTGACGCCGTGTGACGACGGGGGGGGGGGTTGAGAAATGTGACGTCACATCAAAATGAGCAACTTTAAATAAATACAGACAACACGTTCTACTTAATTAAATAGACTTTTAATAAATATTTCTCCTACAACATCAGAGTGCAGCGCCACATTAAATACGCACTACAATGACAATAGTTTAAAGCGATTTGAAGCATGTTTTATTTTTTTTTGGGGGGGGGGGGGCAGAGCTTTGTGACGTCATATTTGAGGGGGGGGGTCTGACTTTTTGTGACGCCGTGTGACGACGGGGGGGGGGGGGGGGTTGAGAAATGTGACGTCACATCAAAATGCGCAACTTTAAATAAATACAGACAACACGTTCTACTTAATTAAATAGACTTTTAATAAATATTTCTCCTACAACATCAGAGTGCAGCGCCACATTAAATACGCACTACAATGACAATAGTTTAAAGCGATTTGAAGCATGTTTTTTTTTCTTGGGGGGGGGGGGGGGCAGAGCTTTGTGACGTCATATTTGAGGGGGGGTCTGACTTTTTGTGACGCCGTGTGACGAAGGGGGGGGGGGGGTCAAACATCGTCAAAAATCGCGTGACGTCATTTATGGACGGACGTTTAACGGGGTCTTTATGCAGTGACTGCATCGGAACCACAGAGTGGACGGGTGAGCACGAACCAGCAGGTGGCGGACTTAGCTCAGCCGGCATCTCGCTCGGAGCCCCCCTCTCTCTCGACTCACGCTCGTCCGTCGGTCTGTGTGCATCATCTGCGTGGAGCATGGGCGAAAGGGGGCGAGCGAGGGTGTGGCTGGGAAAACAGTGAGGAGAGAGAGGGGGAAAGAATGAAAGGCATGGGGGGGGGGAACCAGCAAAAGTGATTTCCCCCACCTCTCTCTCTCCCTCATCTCCCCACCATCTCCCACTTTCCTGCCGCAGGGCAGACAAGGATGCCAGGTTTTGGTTCACTGTATTCAAATTTACGCAGTACCACTCCACCACCCACCTCCTCCCCAGCTCCCAGACGCCAAAGTAAAACATAATTAAATAAATAAATCTTCCCACCGCACCCCTCCCTCTACTGCAGAGGCAACACGCGGTGCCACGTGGATCACGAGGATGATGGAATTTGGGAATTTCCAAGGCTCCCATAACCCAAACCCACTTATCACCCCCATCACACACCCAACATACCCACCACGCTAACCCCACCTATCACTCCCCACATCACCACTTCCCCACTCATCACCCCAAACAAACCAAACCACCACTCCCAAACCCCACCCCCATCACAAAAAAAAACACAAATAACTATGACCCACGCTGTCCCGGACTCCCCACCTCCCTCGGGGGAATCATAACCACAACTCACGCACTACTACCACCAAACACCCCGGCGCTCAGCAGCATTCAGCAGCCACCCACGCCCCCCCCCCCCTTCTTGGAATTCGGCAGGAAAAGGTGACGCAAGGAAGAGAGACAGACAGGAACACGAGGCGCGATTCGGGAAACTTATTATATTGAGTATTGCTCCGTCCTTGCTGTTGACGGGGGACCTTGGGTGAACGGCCGCCTCCTCTGTGGTTGTCGTCGTGGAAGTTGTCCGCGTCAATCGAGTGATCACACGGCTATTAAAACCTCGAGCGAGGATCCTTGCAGCTCGCTTGCCTGCAGCGGCGGGTCGGTCTCGAGAAAAGAGTCTCGTTGCGCTCATAGATTGAGAGAAGACTGAATCTGGGGAATTCCACGATACTGGCTCAGCAACATAATACACCCATCGCACAATCCATCACCCCACCACCACCATCATCATCATAACCCATCGCTCACACCATCACCAACAACAACTAAGTGCCGGGGACGTCACCACGGCGCTTGTGCCAGGCTGTGTGCACGTTAAGGCCACGTGAAGCGTCGAAACAACAAACACAACAACAACAACCCACTCGCACACTCAGCAATACAACCCAACCATCCCATTCCCGCCTCCAATCCACACCCAACAATCAACGACATCAAAACGCCGGGTGTGTTGGGCAATGCCATCGTGTCGCCCTTACTACTGCCGACTTGCCTCTTCGGAACCAACCCCGGTACGTGACCACGACTGGTTGAAAAGTAATTCGTGCGAATTCGTATCTTGCTATTTGGAGTGGGTATTATTCGGGATTGACATCGGCTCGCTCACCCCGTAAGGCAAATATAATGTCCTGCACTAATATTTTAAACCGTTGTTTTAATAATCAAAAAAATCTGTTGTACTTTATACGTTTTTATATTGGCTTATTGATCATGCAGATGTCACGGGGTATTTTTTTTTACTCACAATACTGTATATTTCTCTCGTTTCAGAAGTTTCATTTGAACTGCGCACACGTAAAGACTGTGTGTGTGTGTGAGAGAGAGAGAGTTTAGCCTATGTTTATCATGTAAATAAAGGATACATATTGTTCGGTTTAGGATCTGGTTTGTGCCAAGTTGGCTTGCGGAGTGTTTGCATCTAAACACAGTAACTCCAGTACACACAGCCAGCCTGCTCCTATCCCTCACCTCCCTCACTACCGTCTCCTCCCTCATCTCCCTGCTACATGCAGCCTCTTCTCTCCACACACACGCCTCTCCTCTCCTCTGTGCCCACACCCATCCCCTCTCTCCAACACACGCTCTCCTGTCTTCCTGCAACTCCCATATCGCTCCTCTCTGCCACAACGCTCTCTCTTCCATTTCCAGCACCGCTCTCTCCTCTCCCAACGGACCTCTTCCCCCCTCTTTAAATTACCACATCGCGCTCTCTCTTCTCTCCCACCCGTTCCCCCCCCAACCCCCATACCGTCTCCCACCCGTCTCCCCCATACCCTCCTCTCTCCCATCATCTCTCCCACGCGTCTCCCACATACCTTCATCTCCCCCCCATTATCTCTCCCACGCGTCCCCCCCATACCCTCCTCTCCCCCATCATCTCTCCCACGCGTCTCCCCCATATCCTCCTCTCCCCCCATCATCTCTCCCACGCGTCTCCCACATACCCTCCTCTCCCCCATCATCTCCCTCCCTCCCCTCCGCGAGACGTCAGTAAGGAAGTGACGCCTGCCTCGTCTCAGGTGTGGGGGAGGCGGAGCGCCAGGTGCGCGCAGCTAACCCCTCCTCTCCCTGCTCCCTCCCACGCCCCCCTGCTCCCTCACCCCCCCCCCCCCCCACATCTGGACAAAGACCCACACACAGCCTGGTCTCATCACAACCGCGCCAGCACGCGTCTCTCAGTCCTCGTCTCTCGCCCACGCTCCTCACTAATCCCCTGGGTAGCGCCTCTCTCTTTTCTCGCCGAGTCGTTGAGTCGCGGTGGAAGTCGTGTGTACCCCACGCCGCCTCTCCACTCGTCCTCTGTCCCTCCCGGGGTCGCCCTCGGGGTCATCCCCCTCCCTCAGGGTCCCCCCCCCCATCCACGCAGAGAAAAGCGGCCCGCGATGAGAGAACCATGGCCACGGCTCAAGGAGGGATCGACTCGGGACGCCGGATCGGCCGCTGCGCCACGTCCTTCTGGCTCGCCATCGCCTTCGACGCGGTCGGAGTGGCCGTGCTGCTCGTGGGCATCTTCAGCGACGTGGAGTTCTACGACCTCCTCATCTACTGCGGGGCCATCCTCATCTTCCTGAGCCTCGTTTGGTGGATCTTCTGGTACACGGGCAACATCGAGGTGCCCGTGGAGGAGTTGATGCGCGGTGGGGAGAGCGAACGCGGAGGCGGTGGCGGCGGCGGCGGTGGCAAGGGGACGGGACCCGCGAGTCGCGTCGTGAGCCTCGTGCGAAGTGTGTCGAGCATCCTGCAAGGTCGGAGGTCCTTCACGAGCACTCCGAGAAGGTCGCAGCAGCAGCAGCAGCGCCAACAGCAGCGCCAGCAGCAGCAGCAACAACAACAGCAGCAGCAGATTGACCTGAACGGACTTCAGTACAAGAGCTCGCTTATAGCGTCTTCGGAGATGCACCACCACCACCAACACTGCCGCCACGACCACCAGCAGCAGCACCGTCTCCCGGCAGAGCCTCTGCCTGGCGAGTCGTTTTCGCCGGGACAACCCGTCGCCTCGTCGCCTCCTCTCCCCTCGCCGTCCTCGGAGCGACGCGACTCCGACGGGCGCTGCGCCTCGCTCCGCGCGCAACTCGAGGACCGGGGCTCGAAGCCTGCGGCGAGCGGACACGGTGGTGACCTGGGATGGGACGGGAGGTGGCCCGAGGTTTGCTTCATCTCGCTGGTCGGGCTGCCTTCGGAGAGCACGAGGCTATGAACGAGGTGGCTTCTCCACCCCTGCTCCTCATCCCGTGCGGGTAAGACGCACCCCACCTTGACTCTCTCAACTCACCGTTCTCTTTTTTGTTGTTGTTGTTAGCGCCATGTGCGCCGTCCAACAAGAAGCGACGGTAACTCTGCCCATTTGTGGAAGACCGCTCCGGAAAGTAGAGACGCTCGCCCCCCCAAAAACAGCGATGTCTTCATCCCTCTTCCGCTGCTCACCCCCCCCCCCCCTTGCGTCGATGGCGGTTACGCAAACACATCTGGACGCACGCGCGAGCCACGACAACAACAAAAAATATCCCCGCCGGATTATAAAGACGAAACCCCCCCCACAACGTTTGATTAAAAATTAAGTTGTAGGGGGGGGGGGGTGCGTATTGTAATTGTGGGGAGCGGTGGTGTAGCGGTTAGCGCGCTGCGCTACGAACCCGGCGACCCGGGTTCGATTCCGCGCTCAGTGACGATTATCTGAACCGGTCCCAGGTCTCCCCTAGGTCGACTCAGCCTCAAATGAGTACCTGCTGCGGTGTGTAAACATCGCCACTGGGGAGACAAAAAGGCGGTCGGGCGTGGTGCTGGCCCACCCACCCCCTCGTGAGCCGTGCCGGCCTTTACAGGTGCTCGCTAACAGCACTTGCCCCTACAGTCTGTTACAGGCTACACGGGGGATCTTTGTATTATAATACGAAAATGATTATATCGATTATAATGTGTATATGTTAGTTGAATACGTAGGCTTTCACGACCGATATCCATAATACTATTTAGTACTGATTTACGCGATCTAATCCACGCGATCTAACCGACAAACGCCTATGGATGTTTGTTGTTATATATGGGGAGCGGCGGGTTCGTAGCCAACATCGGTGACGATTATCTGAACCGGGTCCTGGGCCTCCCCTAGGTCGACTCAGCCTCAAATGAGTACCTAGTGCGGTGTGTAAACATCGCCAATTGAGAGACAAAGGCGGTCGGGCGTGGTGTTGGCAACCCACCCGCTCGTGTACCGTGCCGGCCTTAAAAGGTGTTCGCTAACAGCACTTGCCCCTGCAGTAAGTTTAGGCTATACGGGGCGTCTTTGTGTGGTAGTAGATAATGTCCTTTGCGAAACTCACGGACAGTCACCACAATGTTTTATTTTAGAAGAGAGGAAAAAAACACATGATTATTGTTACACCCCTATTAAATCACCGCACCCCATGTTGGAAACACAGTGACTCAATGTTCATGAATCTATGAATGGTATCGTTGTGATTGATGGTCGTGTTCGATACTTTTTTTACCAGATAAGTCCCCACTGAGCTGTTATAGTTATTTTTTTTCCAGAAGCGATCAGGCCACACACGATAGCTCAACGAAGTGGCTTATCATCATGTGGAAATGGAGAGCGGCCAAATACTCGAAACGCGTGTTTTTTTTAAATGTGGAGGGGAAAAACTAGGGTCGAGGATGCGGCCCACGCGAAAACTCTCAATACCGACTCGTAACAATGCTGCTGGAATGGTCTCACCGAATAACTTTCATGAGCGGGGTCGAATTCATGCGAGGGAGGAAACCGGAGAGGCCACGGGTAGAACCCAGCCGAGACGGCGACACCCAACCCCGCCGTCTGCCGGCCGGCTACCTTCCAGCTCCCACGCCTACAACACCTGGCAAGCCCCTTCTCTCCCCACCCCCGCACCATAACAGCCCCCCCCCCCCCTACTCGCCACGATGTTGGGCACGCGTCCCAACTATTGGCCAGGATCGACCCCGCTTAGCTTTTGACCTCCGGCGAGATCTCGCGTGCGTGCGTCCGTCCGGCGTAATTTCGTGGTTATTACCGCCGTCATCATTATCATCGTCGTCATCGGCCATGGTCTATTCACTGCTGGATGAAGGCCCTCCTCGCCGCGCCGTCGCCATCCCTCGGGGCGCAGTGCCGCTGCCACCATTCGTCTCGCCGCTGCCGCATTCACCGATCTCGTCGCTCCGTCTCCGCGATGGTCGTAACCTCATGGACCGAGGCGTTCTCCCTCCTTTGGCTGCCATTCCGTACACCGGTCTCGTCCGGCGGCGGCCATCCCGTCTCGGCCATGACGCGTCCGTCCCTGTCCAGGCTCGCGTACGCACTTTGTGTGTACAATTTCACTGTGGTGCAGTCAAAAGAAAATAAACATCCACACAAGAGCCTTCACCCTCGATCAAGAGTGCGTGGAGCGACGCTCATCTCCTGTTGGGGTACGCCTGACCCATTGTTGGAAATTACACATTCTTATGGAAAGGGACTGTACATGTAGGACAACCTATGTATGTATGTTGAACTTCTTTTGCGCCGTACGTAGCCGACCGTGCTAATCGGAGTTGCGAGGGGAAAGGACAACAAACTAAACACGAAGCTCCAGAGATATGAGCTTTCAACCTAGATTATGTAACTATGCACAGCCCCAGCGGCTTCCTGATATCGGAAGGAAGAGCGTTCCAGACGGCCGCAGAAGGCGCATCTTAAAGTGTGCGATGCGGTAACGGCCTTTGTTTGGTGGTTGGTCTAAAGCCGCTGCTGCCAGGATGATAGTTCGCGTAATGGGACAGATCCAGGTGCTGTGGGGTTGTCTGACTGAGATGACTGACAGATGCACCACCTGTGCCCCGTACTGTGCCAGCTTTCCGTGTTTTAGCCGCCCAGCGGCTCCGCCCATTGTTGTGGGATATCACACACACGACGTGGAATGCCACAAATATGCCACCTATACCCTGAACAGACTGCTGGGGCAAGTGCTGTTAGCAAGCACCTACGTGGGCCGGCACGGCTCACGAAGTGGTGGTCGGCCCACACCACGCCCGGCCGCCTTTGTTTCCCCAGTGGTGATGTTTTACACACCGGGTACCCATTTGAGGCTGAGTCGACCTAGAGGAGGCCCAGGACCGATGCAGATAATCGCCGCTGGGTGTTGCGGAAGTCGAACTCGGGTCGCCGTGAGCTGCACGGTGGTTTTGGCAACGCCACGAGAAGAGGTTTCTCGGCTCTGCCCCCGCAGGTCGCATTGCAGAAGCTTCCCTGATAAACAAGCCCGCCACGAGCTACCAGGCGCTGTGCCAGTGTGTGTCTGTGTGTGTGTATGTGCGCCTGTGTGTGTGTCAGCTTTTGTTTGGCCGGATTGAGGGGGCTAAGTGGGCGCGGCACGGGCTAGAGAAGAGATGGAGTGATGTGGTACAGGAGGACGTGGAGCTGAGTGGACTTGCCGATGACTGGTACCAGCGGTGTCAAGATCGGCCTCTGTGGAGGAGGCTCGTGAAGGACGCTGCTACTGGGCAGTTGGAGGCAGTCGCCCTCCAACAACAACGGAGGGCGGAGGAGCGACGCTCACAACAACGAGCGGAGCGCCGGGTGGCTAAAGCACAGCAGGTTGGCACAGTAGGGGGCACAGGTGGTGCATCAGCCAGTCATCTCAGTCAGTCGACCCGTGGCACCTGGGTCTGCCCCGTGACCTCCTGCCAGCGGGCGTTCGACACTTCACATGGCCTCAGGGTGCACATAGCCTGGCACAAGCGTCGTGGTGACGTCACCGCCACTTAGTGGCGAATGGCGGTTGTTGTTGTGTCTGTGTGTGTGTCTGTATGTATGTGCGCCTGTGTGTGTGTCTGTGTGTGTATGTGCGTGTGTGTGTCTGTGTGAGTGTCTGTGTGTGTGTGTGGGGAGCGGTGGTGTAGCGGTTAGCGCGCTGCGCTATGAGCCCTGCGACCCGGGTTCTATTCCCGCTCACGGCCAACACCCAGTGACGATTATCTGAACCGGGCCTGGGCCTCCCCTAGGTCGACTCAGCCTCAAATTAGTACCTGGTGCGGTGTGTAAACATCGCCACTGGGGAGACAAAGGCGGTCGGGCGTGATGCTGGCCACCCACCCCCTCGTGTACCGTTCCGACCGTTATAGGTGCTCGCTAAAAGCACTTGCCCCTACAGTCTGTTAAGGCTACACGGTGGGGGGGGGGGGTCTTTGTGTGTTTGTCTTTCGTCTCGAAGTTTGTTTAAATGATGCAGTCTTGTGTGCACACACGGGCGCCGCGCGCATTTGCGATGTTTTACAACGGGTATTGTCCAATCGCCACCATCGTCATGGTCAGTAATGTCAGCGTCACGATGACGGATCAGTACTCTAAGCAGAGCTGCCCTTGCCTCCAAGGTGCGTGGACTACGTGTATGTGTGTGTGCTTATACACACACACACGCAGTGGGGAGTGGTAGTTGGAGCGGTTAGCAAAACCACCTTAATCCCATTCATGCTCTTTGGTTCTTTCGGTAAAGTCACGTGGATAGATAAAATAAAACCAAAAAAATAAAATATCACGACGTTTCGATCGCAACACAAGCGGTCGTCCTCAGGCGGAAAAAAAAACCAATCTAGCAGTGGAGCTGCTGAACCACTGCCGGATTTAAATTTTGATTTGAAGCTTTCGTGACTGCAGAGATTCATATTATTGGTTCTTTCGGTAAAGTCACCACGTAGAAGGGAAACAATAAAATAATAAAAATATAAAACAATAAGATTCTCACGACGTTTCGACTGCAACACAAGCAACCATCATCAGGTGTGAAAACCACAGCAATAATGTTTTTTTTTTACTGCCGGATTGTTGAAACACTGCTGGACCACTGCTGGATTGTTTTTTTCTGCCTGAGGACGACCGCTTGTGTTGCGATCGAAAAGTCGTGATATTTTATTTTTTGTTTTATTTTAATGCATTTTCTTTTTCCACCTACGTGACTTTACCGAAAGAACCACAGAGTATGGATTCCTGCAGTCACGAAAGATTCGAATCAAGATCGATTCCTGCTCACGGGCCAACACCGGTGACGATTATCTGAACCGGTCCTGAGCCTCCCCTAGGTCGACTCAGCCTCAAGTGAGTACCTGGTGCGGTGTGTAGTAAACATCGCCAATGGGGAAACAAAGGCGACCGGGCGTGGCGCTGGCCACCCACCCCCTCGTGTGCCGTTCCGGCCTTCATAGGTGCTCGCTATAACAGCACTTGCCCCTACAGTCGGTTAAGGCTACACGGGAGATCTTTGTATATACACAGCTTCTACTGTGTACTTATTGCGCTGACTCTGCTCTCCAGAACTCCAGAGACCTGATCTAGGCTCAATTAGTGCCGACCAGCAGCGGATTTTAATTGGTCTCATGGTGTGTGGGGGGCGGGATCGGCCCAACCCGTGGTTTTGGTCTCTTGCACGCGCACGGGTGAGATGAAAGGTGAGCTGAAAAACAGGCAATGTGTGCAGGTGAGGCAGTACACAAGTAGGTAGACAGGTGAGGCACGAGGTGGGGGGGGGGAGATGCACAGATGAGGGATGCACAGGTGAGCTAATGAGCCAATTGGCTTGGCGATATGACAGGTGAGCTGGGTGTCCGTGCCTACATGCATCGTTGTTTGGACTCTTCCCTTTACCTGGCCAAGCGGGTCCCGTGGAGCCCACCTGTCTCCCACGGCAACGATCCGTCTCTCTGGCAACCAGCTGCCCTGTTTGTTGTATCCATACCGATTAGCGCACAAGTGCGTCTGCCTCCCAAATCACCTGTCTGCCTTCTAACCTACGAGCTCACCTGCAGACCTACCGTCTTATCCGTCTCTGCGCTCACCTCTCAGCTGGCAGACTGTCACTCACCTGGCTGTGTCCATTTAATGTCCCCAAAGTAACTTGCTGACCCGCCTCAACTGGACATCTGTGAAACACAGCCTCACAGGCCATCTGATTCCTCCATTAAAAAATAAAAGATAAAGATTCTGATTCTAATGTTCACCTTCCCATCCGCCCCGCCAGCTAACCCAGAGGTGCCACGGTGGTGAGATGTTAACTCTCTCGCCAGGTATGCAGGAAGTCGTGGGTTCGACCCCAAACCTGACGCTTGCTGTGTATTATTTAGAGTTTGCACGTTCTGTCTCCCCGTCGTGGCGTGGGTTTTTCTCAGGGTCCTCCGGTTTTTCACCCTTCCACATTTAGAAACATGATCATTCACTTCGTTGAGCTATCATTTGTGGCCAGGTCGCTTGTGAAAAAGAGCTATACAGCTCAGTGGGGCATTACCTGGCAAAAATAAAAAAAAATACATATTTTTGTTACCCGTCCATATACGCCTCTCCCGCCCGTCCGTTTCTCCCGCCTCGTGGGCCGGCTGCACACGGGTTAATGATCGGCACGAGTCGCTCTTCACCAGGGCGACGCGTGAAGCTGGCCGCTCGCAAACACCCGAGGGCTCAGCGGGGCGCAGCCGAAAACAACGACCGCCGGTGGCTCCTCGCCACTGCCCCCTCACAGCAGGGGAGCTAGGACGCCAGCATCGGGAGGTATCAACCTCCACGCTGATTGCGTCGCCATGCCGTGGCCCGTCCTGGCTCTTCCAATATGATTAAGTAATATTTGGAGTTTGCGAGAATTATCATCGGTCTCGTGCAGTACCGCTACAGTACAAAGGGGTGCATATGCATAACAATCCTATAATGTTGTACCCTGAATTTCTGATAATCGTACGATTTATTTTAGAAAGAACGTCGTTCTACGCCTGGACTTCTCGGAGTGCTTTACACCCAATAGGCGACTTGCATCTCATCTCGACGCATTTGAAACGGCACCTCCAGTGGCAGCTGTCCCTGTGGGCAAAAGGTGATTTAGCACCTGGCCTGCAATCGGGCATTATTGTGCCAGTAGGGGGCAATGGTCACTCTGTAAAATCACAAATAAGTAATTTGCAGGTTGTTTTTAAAAATTTGGAAAATTTAGGCCATGTCGCCAGCACGCAATGACCAGCTCTTGCGAATTACACGAGGGGAACTTTAACGTCAACCGTGAAACAGACGGCGCAAATTTTACGGTTAAAACGCCAAACGTATTAACCAGGACGGCCTGCCGGATTCAAACCGCAAGCCTGCCCCAAAAACGCTACCAGTGGGCTGCGTCACCGCTACTACGAACCAGATTTTGGGCAAAATAGGGCAGCGAGGTGGATGCAGAATAATAACCTTTATTTAGACTGGAGGAATCCGATGGAGGAATCCGATGAGCTATGAAGCTCTTTATATTATTTTAACACAGATGTCCAGTCGGGAACAGGTCAGAAATCCCGGAGGATCGTTCCGGAGTGGACTCTCGCCGCTGCTGATAATTGAGCCCCGTCGGCAGGGAAAGGGAGGATGAGAGGACGCCTGAGATGAATCGTCCCCAAAAGTAAAAAAAAATAATTGAGACAACTGCCGCCTGACCAGCATTCGGATGCTCACATGACAAAGGGGTTCGTACCCCCCTCTTGCGCCGCAGGCAATCGCCTCTCGAGAGTGACGAGACAGATGTGGGCTGTGATCGTAGTGGACGGTTGTCAACAATGTACGCTCGCTTTCACCTCACGTGATGCCGTGGGCAACGTTATTATTTTTACAAAAGAACAATGATGGCCCTTGCCGTCGCTGGGACCTCTGAAAGTTTTGGGGGTTTTTTGGAGCCGCGTGATGCCGTACGTACGGGGGAACGGCGGCGGCGGCATTGTGCGTGGAATCGTGGGTTGGAACGGTCACGGATCAACAGCGGGGAACTTACTTCAAACAGCTCCTGTGTCTGTTTTGATGACGTGGGAAGAATTTCGAGCGGAGCGGGTGGCAACCGTGTTCTGCGCCACCACACTATGAACCTGGCAAACCCGCGTTTAGTTCCCAGTCACGGCTAGCGGTCAGAGGCGATTGATTTCTGAAACAGATCTCGGTCGCCCCCCCCCCCCCTCTTACACCAATAGCCAGCGGTGAAGTATGGCCAAAAAAACCCTCATGACTTACAACGGCGTGAGGAGGCCTTTACCCAACAGTGGTTTGACATTGGGCTGCAATTTGACTTTAAACTTGATCCACGTTAGATTTCGGAGTCGTGCCACCTGGTATAGTTCAATGACAACATTGTCGTAATGAATGTTAGCTCTGTCTGTCTGCGTGTTCTAGATCCCTGCTCTTTGCCTTAATGAATCAATGACAAAATACATTACGAAAGATATATAAAGCGACTCGAGCTATATTTGAAACACGCGCAAGTAAATCAGCTCTCTTCATCTGAGGTGCCGCCCCTAAGCCGTTGGTTAACAACAACAAAAAAACGTTGCATTTCCTCCATTTGTGTTTTTACTATTGAAGCGTGGTGGGCGGTGGCTGGGTGCATGTGTGCACTGTGCGTGTGGGGGTGAAGCAGTGTGGCTACTGGGCTTACTACTACTAATACCTGTTGCGGTGTGTAGTAAGCGTCACCACTGGGGAGACAAAGGCGGCCGGGCGTGCTGCTGACCACCCACCATCCTCCCTCGTGTGCCGTGTCGGCCTCGCTAGGTGCTCGCTAACAGCAGTTCCCCCCCAAATAGCCTGTTACAGGCTTGCCGGGTGATTTTGTCTCCTGGGCTAACGAGAGAAAAGAGAGAAGCCCCGCCACAAGGTGCGACGGGTTGTTGTGTGTGTACGACCGTGCGTGGGGAGCGGTGGCGCAACGGTTAGCGCACCGTACAACGAACTTGGCCTGCCACCCGAGTTCGATTCCCGCTCACGGCACAACATCGGTGACGAATATATCTGCACCGGTTCCATGGATCTCCCCCTAGGTCGACTCGGCCTTAATTGATTACCCACTGCGATGTGTAAATATCGCCCCGCGAGGGAGACAAAGGCTGCCAGCCGTGGTACAGGTCACCAACCTCTCACGTGTGCCGTGACGACCTTCATAGGTACTCACTGTAACAGCACTTGCCTCAACAATCTGTTGAAGGCTATATGGGGGATCTTTGTCATTACGCAAACGTGCACGCGAAGCGATCCACGATCGTGGAAACTGAACGCATTGCGTGAACGAGTCCGCCACCCTTTAATTGCCACCGCTTCTCGCTGCCAGCGACCCTAAAGTTAACAGCGGGCGAGACGGCCATTTACCACCGTGCCACGTCACTCCCGACCCGCCACGTGCTCGCGTGTCGCGATGAGGTTTTGAGATTAAAAAAACAAACACTTTTAAGGTGGCGTTTTCGCGTTTTCGGCTTTCGTGAACCCTTTCGGTTAAAAGTTCTGTCACGAGAACGCCGGTGTGGGGTGACGTGCGCTTGCCCTCGTGTAAAAAAATATAAAAGTGTTGAAAGAACTTCGTGACCGCCCCCCCGGTTTCCCCAGCAGTGGTGGCGGTGGCGTCCATGGATGTAGCCGTGCACCTCAAGTGGGTTGCGAGCCCCCCCCGTCTGCGTGAAACGGTTGCCGCGTTTTACCGGGTGGAGTTTATTTTCCAGGCGGTCTGGGTTTTTTTCCCTCACACCCGCACCAAAAATTCCTTCCTTGTCGCTGGCCCCCAAACGACCCAGCGAGGGTTTTCTCTGATAAATTACTGAAGGCTACTTTCAGTGATACAGTATCTAAACTAAACTATTTTTTCTTATTTTACCAGGCAAGGCCCACTGACCGATTATCTCTTTTGCGGGGAGCGACCTGGCCACAAATGATAGCCCAACGAAGTGGCTTATCACGTGGAAAATGTATGGCGGGCAAATCATTTCGAGCCATGTTTGGTTGTAAATGTGGAGGGAAAAACCCACGAAACCACAGGGAAAGAGACATGCCATCGCCAGGCATGCAGGCATCAGTGTCGCCATCGAACCCACAACCTCCTGTATACCAGGCGAGGGAAATGCTATGTTTAAGTTGTAGTGATAGGGGTGTAGGGGTTGGGGTTTGCTTCGTTGTAGCTGGGGGGGCAGAGGCAAGGTGAGTAAGTAGTAGGATGGGCTTGGCCAGGGGTAAAATCTATATGAAATATAGATTTTTTTTTACCGAATTCCAAATAAATGGCTCTTCTTGTTATTTTGGTTGCCCCGAGCCCTTGGACTAGGGAGAAGAGATGGGTTTTAAGGGAGGAGCGGAGCTCGTTATGGTGAAGACGATTGTTTTTTTTTTAAATCTGCGTTGGCTGATAATTCTGCTGACGGCGGCGGGTGGTGGTGGTGACGAAGCCGAACATCTTCATGCTACTACCGCTTCTGCTGACAAAACGTGCTTACTGTTAATTGCGATTAAGATTACAGTGATACTGATGATGATCATCATAATACTGCTGCTGCTGATGACGACGACGACGATGATAAATTCTCTCTCTTTACCCACAGGTCTCCTCCGACCTCCAGCAAGGAGCTTGTGGGCTGGTCGTCTCGTCCATCTCAGCTCCCCGACCGGCCAAACTCTCACGAAATATATATTTTTGTTGTTTCTTTTAAAATCATGAACTTCGATTCCGACAACTGGAGTTACCACACGCCAAGGGAGCGCATCACATTCCCAAGTGTTTTTTGTTTGTTTTGTTTGTAGTTACAACGTGAGGAGACGTAAAGTGTAAAGTATAACAACAACAAAAATTCCAGAACAAAAATAACTTTCCTGACTCATTTACTGTAAATTCCCGACGTCAGCGATGGAACCGAGCTCGTGTTTATACTGGAGAGTTAGTGACCTCTTGCTGCTCACTACGTACGGAAACAAAGAAAAACTACGACTCGAACATTTATCCACAGCTCCTGGAGTCTCACGCATCCCTCACGGATTGCATTTTCGCGCCCTTTTTTTTCTCTTCTTGTCAACACTCGCCACAATGTCGTATGCTGCTCGTAGATACTCGTAAAATGCCGCACGATGTTAACGGTGGAACCCAAACAACGCGGTCCTGTCCAGCCCGCCTGAGTGCCTCTCACGCCACCTGCTGGCCACTGTCGCCCATTGCCCTCAGAGGTTGTTGACGGCAACTTGGCGCCAATGTGGCGCAAGGTGGTGGTTGGTGGTGGTGGTGGTTGGTGGTGGTGGCACGGGCATGCATTTGGATGGCGCGAAGCAACGAAAGTTGAATACATTTCCCTCAGTTAAGCGAAGACTTTTCTCCCAGTGAAGCGAAGACATTTTCCTTCAATGAAGTTTATGCATTTCCCTCAGTTATACATTTCCCTCCGTTAAGTGAATACATTTCTGTCAGTTAAGTGAAGACATTACCCTCAGTAAAGTTAATAATACATTTCCCTCCGTTAAGTGAATACATTTCTGTCAGTTAAGTGAAGACATTACCCTCAGTAACGTGAATACATTTCCATTAGTTAAGTGAAGAAATGTTTGTTGTCCTTCCCCCACACCTCCTATTAGTGTGGTTGCCTGCGTAGGGTGTGAAAGAAGTTCAACATACATACATTTCCTTCAATGAAGTGAAGACATTTCCCTTAGTTTCCCAACTAAATCGGTCTAAATTCAGGGAGGCTTTTAATAAACGTATTTGACGTGGCCGGCCATTAATCACCTCATTACGCCACTCACCTCGCAGCTGTGTAACCTGTGCTATCGTTGTGCCACTAATCTCCAACCTTAATCAATTTCTGGTTGTTCTTCTTCGAGTGTGTGTCTGAAGCTGCATGCAGCCACGTTTGTGACAAGTGCCCTTGGTGACTATGTTGTTGCGTGATGCCTCCAGACGGCCATGTTGGTAGCAAGTGTCTCAAGTCACCATGTTGGTAGCCAGTGCATCAGGCGGCCATGTTAGTGGCCAGTGTGTTAGTTGGTCATGTTGGTAGCCAGTGCGTTAGGTGGCCATGTTAGTGGCCAGTGTGTTAGATGGCTATGTTGGTAGCCAGTGCGTTAGGTGGCCATGTTGGTAACCAGTGTGTTAGGTGGTCATGTTGGTAACCAGTGCGTTAGGTGGTCATGTTGGTAGCCAGTGCGTTAGGTGGTCATGTTGGTAGCCAGTGTGTTAGATGGTCATGTTGGTAACCAGTGCGTTAGGTGGCCATGTTGGTAGCCAGTGTGTTAGATGGTCATGTTGGTAACCAGTGCGTTAGGTGATCATGTTGGTAGCCAGTGCGTTAGGCGGCCATGTTGGTAACCAGTGCGTTAGGCGGCCATGTTGGTAGCCAGTGCGTTAGGCGGCCATGTTGGTAGCCAGTGTGTTAGGTGGTCATGTTGGTAGCCAGTGCGTTAGGTGATCATGTTGGTAGCCAGTGCGTTAGGCGGCCATGTTGGTAGCCAGTGCGTTAGGCGGCCATGTTGGTAGCCAGTGCGTCAGGCGGCCATGTTGGTAGCCAGTGCGTCAGGCGGCCATGTTGGTAGCCAGTGCGTCAGGCGGCTAGGTTGGTGGTCCGTGCGTTAGGTGGCCATGTTGGTGGCCATTGCGTCAGGCGGCCATGTTGGTGGCCAGTGGCCCCAGGTGGCCTTTTGTTGGCCAATGCCTCAGGAAGCCAGCCAAGTTGGGGACAAGTACCCCAGGCAATTAAGTAGTGACCTGGAAAACCAAAATGACTGGGCCTCGGGTGTGGTGGACACAAGGACTGGTGCTGCCTGTGTCGTGCTGTACGTCGGTGTGATTTCACGAGATGAAAATGCTGTAAAATGGGGCCTTTTACTGCAAAACTAGATTTCAATTGTGCCTTATTAGAATGAATAATAAGCAATAGTTGTTGTCCTTTGGAAACACTGCTACCCACCATAGCATTGTGGAATTTCCACCACTGGTTTGCGGTACACCACAGTGGAAAATTAGCACTGCCTCAATGCTCTTTGAGCAGGGAGACTTTTTTACTTGACTATGTTTATAATAATGCCGTTAATATTTTACAAGTAGTTAGTCACTTGACAATCCTTTTCACTGTGTGCCTAAACGTATCCCCAGGACACCCATCCCTTCCTTGCCTTGGGTGTTTACGGTTGTCTGAAACCTTCACTTTTGTGATACACCGTAGTACTGTACAGTATATTGCACCTTGCAGTTTGCTTGCACGTGCTGTGCAATTTGACGGTTTGAGGGGAGCGGGTGTAGGCCCGTAATCCTGCTTGACGGCAGGCCATCGCGTGATGTCCTGGCCGCAGCACCAAATTTGCCAAATTGTTGTTTTAAAACCTGCGAAGGCAATCGGCGTTTTTATCCCCTGCTAGATGAAGACATACCTACGCTGTCGCCACCCGTCGTGGTACATGCCGATGCCATGATCCAGCGCCTTCACCCCCCCCCCCCGCACACGTGAACCAATTTCATCGTTCCCACATCCACAGTAGTGGTCATTTGTCCCGTATGTATTCTCTCGATCATCAGCCTCGTCCATCGACCATGATCGTCCCTTGCAGCCACGATACGTGTCCTATCCAAGGTGTAATAGTCCGCATGGTGTCTCTCTTTTGTTTTTTTGTTCCTCCGATCCTCATACTCCGTCTGTCAGTTTCATTTCCGGCATACGACTGCCCCAAAAAAAATATAAATTGGGCTCTTACTGTCAACGGAGCAATCGCCAACACCTGCCTTCTACTTCATGCCAACGCTGTCTCGCACTGTAAAGCAAAGGACTATACCCTAGTTGACAGGTGGTGCGTTTAAATACGAGCGAGTAGAAACCCGCACTTAGAGCAAAGTTCTTAGAGATTTTAGCGTGCTGTGTTTGTAAAACAGTTCGTCGCGGAATCGTCGTTGCTGCTTCGTTTTACATCTTTTAGGCACCGTTGTAAGACAGAAAGAAAACGAGAGTTTACAGAAAGCGCGAATGTCACGTATTTACCCAGGCAAGCCACGCAGATTCTCAAAAGGCTATTGTATGGGAGTGTGCTGGATTGGAGCTTTTTGGCCAAACGATTTTTTTTTAAGAAGGAGCGTTTTGCTTTATGTGGGATGAACGTATCTCGTGAAATCCCACTGTGTGTGTGAGGGTATAACACTCAAAAGGGCCACACACACACACATTCAGTGAACTCAATTGCTGTACTTACACCTTCTGGACACTTTGGAATCCAGCGGTTTTGGGATTTTTATTACAAATCTCTTTTGGTGTGATCCACCAAAACCCTCTCCACCGAAGTGCTGTAATCATATTAAAAACTAACAAGTGCATTATTTATATTGCCCAGAGATTAACAAGTAGCCGTTTTGGATGGCCGATTTTCTTTTTTTTAAAAGAGGTTATTTTATTTTTTTCACGGCACTAACGGCAAGCATATGGTACAAGTGAACGCAACACATCAAGCAACGCGAAGCAAACAACCAGTAGGTAAAAACAAATATTTTGACCAAAGGCATCACACGCACACAAAGGTCTTTTCAGACGTTCGCACATCCCAAATCTAGACGAATACAAATAACAGTTGATGCAGAGCTTTTAAATGATAACCCAACAACCACGACACCGTGCCGCTCATGTTGACAAAGAGAGGAGGGAGATGTGTCACCCGACTCGAATTTGGCGCCCCAAATGAAAATTCCCCCCGGAAAACCCAAAGATCTGCGTGGCGCTTTTCAGGGTTGTCACCGTGCGTGGAACAGCCCGCAAGCACACATCCTGAGGACTTTTACAGGCACAACAGCCGAAAAATATAAAAAAAATAAACCCTATACTCTGTGCTACATTCCATTCCGTTAATCTGGGTGAAAGTAGCGAACTTATTGTAATAAACTCAACACGATCGGCAATACCGCTGTAGCCTTAACGTGTCAAATATATAACGTTTTGGGTAATGGCCCTAACTTAGGTGCTTTGAAGGGCTATTTCCCGAAACGTCACCTGATGGTTTCCATTTTAAGACCACAGTGTTACTGCCGAATGTGTTTGAGTGAGTTTCTAAAATAAATAATGAATTGCCTTGTGCACCGCTGCAGGTAAGCAAGCAGCTGCATCACCAACCTGGCCTATGGCCTCCAGAAATGGTCACAGCTGGTTGAAATATATATATTTTTTGGTGAGCGGTCGAATTGTGTTCCATTTGAAAGTCGGGTGACCGTTCGTGATGGGATATGCAGGCAAAATGATATAGGGCAATGGTTGTCATTCTTACTCTTGGGTTGTTTTAAGTCGAAGGAGTTGTGACATGAATGTTGCCATATACTGTATATATATGTGTGTGTAAGTAAATGGACCAAGAGCTTAAAAGGGTTAATTGATGTAAGTCATTGGATGCCAGCTCGTGCATCATCGTTGATTTGGGCCAGCGTACGACACCGATGGCTCGTGTAAATCCTCATTTATTTAAGAGTAATATATGTTTGTATACGGATGGAAGGAATGTGAAGGCACAGCTTAAATTGGCAATAATAAAGAATGTTTTATATTATCGGCCGTGGAGTCATGTTGTTCACTATGCAGAGTGATGGTTCACTACAGTGTACGCGTGTGTTTCTGTGTGTGAGAGATACTTTGCTTGTATGTTGCACTTCTTTCACACCGTTCGTACCAACCGCGCTAACCGGAGGCTCGGGGTTATGGATACACAAACGAGTCGCAGAAAAGCTCTCCTAAAGAAGCGAGTTTTCAACAACGCAGATTTCAAAAGCGCACAGCTCCAAGCGGCTTCCGGATATCGGAAGGGGGAAGAGCGTTCCAGACGGCCGCAGAAGCGGCGCGTTTGAAAGCGCCGAGCGATGCGGGTGACCGCCGTCTTTGTAGCGGGGGGGAGGCAGTTGAACCCCGGGGTACCATAGTGCCCCGGCTCTCTCGCATCATGTCCGTGATGCAGTCATTTTTAGTCTGTTGATGGTCGGCGATGCAGCAATCGACTCATCTCGACGAGCTGTACGAGCTGTACACGATGCACACTATTCGAAGTTGAAATTTTCGATAATGTATTTTTTATGCTCAAATTTGGCGTTTCGATATCGCGGGAGTGGCACTGATTTCGGATTGATGGGTACTCCAGTCGCTGAGTTCAGTACACCCCTGGAAAAAAAAGTGTCCCAGAAATAAAATATTTCATTGCCTCGGTCATTTTGTATTATTTGGTACCCCGGGGTACCGCCATAAGGAGCATTTGTTGTAACGGTTAACGAGTTGCTCCACGAACCCGGAGGTACACGAGTTCGATTCTCGCTCACTACCACCACCACCACCATCGGTGACGATTATATCTGAACCAGTCGTGAGCCTCGCCTAGTTTTTTGACCTGGTGCGCTTGTGTGTAAGCATCGCCACCGGGGAGACAAAGGCGGCCCAGGCGTGGTACTGGTCATTAATCCCCACTCACAAACCCCTCCTCGTGTGCCGTGCCGGTCTTCATAGGCCCTCGCCAACAGCACTTGCCCCTCCAGTCTCTCAAGGCTATACGTGGGATCTTTGTCGCAGGTCTGTGTGGCGACATCTCCAGCTGGCCCTATTCGCCCTTGTGAGAGGTTCAGCAAAGTCCCTAAGGTAATAAAATAATAAATTCAACTCTTTACCCCCAACAACCGCGTAAGTCATGTTAACACATCGCACACGGTTCTCATTTGAGGCTGAGTCGACCCAGGGGAAGCCCAAGACCGGTTCAGATAAATCGTCACTGGGTGTTGGCCGTGAACGGGAATCGAACTCGGGTAGCCGGGTTCATAGCGCAGCGTAGCGCTAACCGCTGCACCACTGCTCCCCCAACACACACGCTGCTTACATAACTCAACGAGACATTTGGGGCCGCTACTGGGGGTCGATTTGTATCGCCGCTGTGAACAGTTGCACGGCAAATTGGGGGCAAAGATCTGCAGTAACAGTCGTTGTTGGCAAACACCTTGCGGGGATGGGTAGGAATGCGAACCCCACCCACACACTCCCGACCGCCCTTGTTTTAGAATTGACATCGTTCACACGACTTTCCAGGCCTTCTAGAACATAAGTTATCATTTAGATCGGTCACTCGGCTTTCCAGTCGCTTTAGAACACAAATGGAATGTAGGTCGGTCATTCAGCTTTCCAGACCTTCCAGAAAATACATTCGAATTAACATCTTCCACTCAGATTTCCAGACATGAACACAATTGGAATTGACGCCGTTCACTCAACTTCCCAGACCTTCTAGAGCATGAATTAGACTCGGTCACTCAGCTTTCCAGACCTTCTAGAACACATCTACGCCTCTATATAAGGAACGAAACAGATGGACTTCTCGACAAATCTGGCTGTCGCCTGATGAAGCTAGTTGTAATTACTCGCGAAACGTCGCACTCAGATTGTAAATGTTGTGGCTTGGCTCTCCAACACACCGGTGTGCTGTACTAGTGACGAATTGGCCACGTTCTGTTTACGTGACAACCCTTACTAGTTGGCTGTGTCGGGTGGTGGTGGGTTTTAACGACACATATATTTACGCGATCTAACCCAAAACCCTCTATTATGGAGAATTTACATCGGTCACTCAGTCATCGCCTCGCTCATCATGTACCTAATTGTGTACGTGTGTGAGTAGAGTATACGCTTCTCGTGTATATGTACATTGGTGTGTTTACAGAGTTTTTGTATGTTGTGAGGGCAAAATACTTCCTCGTGTGCCAGCACTCGACCCAGCAGTCTATTAAGGAATATATGAGGGGAGCTTTGTCTTTGTGACTCTGTGTGTATATTTGCATGTGTGTATGTCCAGCGTACATGGCTGTGTGTATTTGCATGTGTGTGGTTTCTGTGTGTGACGACACATCTGAATGTAAGTATGTGTGTATTACGATGGACTGTGTGCTTTCAATTGCCTTTGTATATGTGACTGCATATATATTATTGTGCGTCTCTGCATATGTGTGTGACTATGTCTGGATGTGTGTATTTGCATGTGTGTGTATTCTGTTTGTGTGATATCCTACAACAACGAGCGGAGTGCCGGGCAGCTAAAACACAGAAAGTTCGCACAATAGGGGGCACAGGTGATGCATCTGCCAGTCATCTCACTCAGTCAACCCATGGCACCTGGGTCTGTCCCATGACCTCCTGCCAACGAACCTACGACACTTCACGCCATAGCCTCAAAGTGCACCTAGCCTGGCACAAGCCGCCGTGGTGACGTCACCGCCAATTAGTGGCGAATTGCCGTTGTTTTTGTTGATAGCAAAGACCCCACCAGCGGTGGCTCGAAATTTGCAAAGTCGCATCACATACGCGTTGAACCCAATTGCCACGCTCACCCACCACGTGTCTCACATCACTGCCAGAAGCACAATAGTCGATTACAGAAAAGATACGCCTAACAATGTCTCCTTCACATATTCGTCTCTCCACATTTCACGTGTTTTTAAAAAAAAGTATTATTTACACAACCCATCGGCCCCACGGCCTTCAGCGTTGATTTCGCTACAAGCAATTATTCCGGATCGGTTTCGACACGCAGTGTCTCATCAGCAGAGTCAGGCCTTGCTTGGATTTTGAATCAATGCTGGCCAATAACTTGCCAGAAAGTCGATTACAATGCATTTCCAGTGTATCAATGAGCAGCGCTTAATCTCGGCCGGAACAGTCTCGAATACAGTCCCGGAAATTGTATTGGCACTCAACCACATCCATCTCGCCTATATTTTTGATTTAATTTTTTATTATAAACCTGTCTACATGAATATAGAGTACACTACTATAGGGAATGTTATGGATAGGCGTATACGTTTTTGTTTTGACTCTAGTGGTAGTGCCTTCCGTCGATAATACCTAATCCAGGCCGGCCTAGCAGAACTCCGGGAAATGTGGAGTGAGATTTTAAACCCTGCCCTGTTTTTTGCCACGCACGCGTGCACCTGCCTTGGGCAGACGCGACATCAAGCTGCTGTTTATTGTGAGATGTTTGTGTGCCCTTCCAAATACAGAAACATCTCTCATCAGGTACCCACGGTGTCAACGTTTAGTATTCACTCTGCCTCTCTGGCCTATTTATGTGCTATCAAAAAGGGGCATTGCCCGAAACGTCGTCTATTATATTGTTCCCCCTTTTAAGGCCAAACAGTGGTATTGCTTATTCTCAATCTATCGCTGGATGAAGTCCTTCATTCGTTATGCCGGCTCATGGATGCGTTATTTCTGACCACATTTCACCACGCAGGTCAGGACCGGTTCCAATATCACTTGCCACTGATGTGGGCCGTGGTTGTGAGTTTTCCTTCAGCAAGGGAATCAGCTTCACGCACGCGTCTACGGTGCTTAGTATTTGGGATGGGCTTCACAATTACCTCCGGGATTGATTCCAAGACCGCACAACTTCGCTAGGAGAACTCTGCGCGCTCCATACCCACGTGACGATTGAATACACACAAGCAAAGGCCCGAATCCGTCCCGTCCCATCGCAGGTCCGGATTGCGAAACAGACCGGCAGGGTTCACCGAGTCTCAATGGCCCTCACCTGCTCTCATAAAGACTACCGGGTTTTATTACGCCCTTTGTAAATGTGACTCGCACAACAGCAGTTACATTCACGAGTGCTGGGGAGGGAGGGAGAGCGGTGGTGCAACGGTTAGCACACTGCGCTAACAAACCCCTTCACGCGACCTGAAACGGATTCCTGGCCACGGCCAACTAACGTCCGTTGCGAGCGACATAATTTGGCTGATGGGGTACCTGCCTTTAAATTGCTTTCATTTTGCGAAATTCCACATTTCCATGACAGGTAAAAAGGTGCTGCCGACCAATGTGTTTTCTCATACCACAGCTGGTGGTGGCAGGGCCCCTCCCCCCCCCCCCCCCAAGACAGCAATTAGTGGATATACAATGGGCTGCACGTGCTTACTATCATTATCATTGTAAAGCGAATAGTGGTCGAACCGGCCCCAGCAGGTGCAATCTCTTATTTCACGAATGGAAAAAAATAATCACGTAAATTCAACTGCGGCAAACCGCGACAAAAACAGTGGAACGCATCGTGAACTCATGTCCACTATGAACATGTGGGTTTGTGTGAGTCTATGGGTCTCTTGTGTGAGTCTCACGTCCATAAGGAGCCAATGGGTATCTATGTGAGTCTATGGGTCTGTGTGAGTCTATACGCCTATTTGAGTCTATGGGTCTCTGTGTGAGTATATGGGTATCTGTGTGATTCTATAGGTTTCTGTCTTTAATGACTAATTAATTCATGAAACAAGGCCGAGTAGAATGTGTCCCAGATTTGAAACCTGCTCCGGCTCGTGGATTCTCATCGCCACCTGCTGGCCAATGTGTCACGGCGCGCCCTTAATGGGGCCCGAACTCATTTTCCGATTCTTGAGCCATTGGTCCTTTTAATGTCTTATCGGTAACCACGCAGAGTGGCAAATGCTGACGATGATATTCTTGAATCATTTCATCTGGTGATCACATATATGTCTGCTAGCACGGTGTCCATAATAGCTTTTTTTGTGTGTGGGAAACATCAAAAGGGTACTGGACTCATTTTGAAAGGGAATATATATTTTTTAATAAACCGATTGTGACATTAAGCATATTCACAACATGCATATACAACGTAAGTGTCGGGAAAGAAATAACAACAGATGTTATGTACGCTAACATATCTATCCCTAACCGCTCATGGCGGAAACAATCTACGGGAGACACGGGTATAGGACTTTAGACGCCAAGTGGTCACGACCAAAAACACCCCCCTTGGCTCATAAGGCTATTCGCGAGTCCTACGCAGGAATGTTTAGCCCAATTCCTATTGGTGAATAATTGACAGAAACCGGAGTGTCCGGACAAAACCAATTAAACAGGTAATTTGAATAGCATCAAGGGCAGGAGGAAATGGCACCATCGTGAGAGATGGAGGCAGCTTCGGGGGGGGGGGGTAAGTGTGAGGCTTCATCCAATAGTGGATTGAGCATGGCTGAGGATGATGATGAACAGCAAGAAAACAAACATGGACATGCAAATACAGACGTCATGCCCCATACTGTTCCCGGAGTCTTTACAAGCGAGTTGTTTTTATTGTTCTGCGCTCGTCCCAGTTATCATCCAACTCTGCTGCTATTAGTCCATGGGCCAGAGCAGACATTGAGACGACCAAAGGTATCAAAACACTTTACTGTAGTCGTATCGATTATTTATTTACAAGGCAAAGACGAGTGGGATCACAACTATATCGATACAAACTACGATTCTTTTTTAATTTGATCAGGTAAGGCCCGCTGAGCTTACATATCTCTTTTTCAGAAGCGACCTGGCCACAAATGACAGCTCAACAAAGTGGCTTATCATGTGTAAATGTATTTAAGCCAAATAGTCTGAACGTGTGTTGATTCTAAATGTGGAGGGAAAAAATCCAAGAGTACCCGGAGAAAAATCCACGCGACCACGGTGAGAGAGAGAGACACACGCAAACTCCAAATATACAGCAGCAGGCGTCAGGATCGGGATTGAACCAATGACCTCCTGTATACCATGCGAGGTAGTTAACATCTCAACCACCGCGGACGATCCCACTCGTTTGACATTATTTTTACGCAATCTACAGTTTATTGTCGTTGGGACGCATATTGGAAGAAATGTGGAGCCAATGACGATATTTGTCAGGAGCGTCGTTGCGATTGGGACATTGACGACGATCAAATCGCACGATATCAGACCCAAGATACTGGGGCATCGTCCGTCTGGCACAATATCGGCATCGTCGAATCGTTGAGTATCGCGACTCGTTTTATTATTTGTTAAACACAAAATGCAAATGATTTCCCGACCAAAAAACAAAAATGTACGCACTGACACTTTACGAAAGTAAAAACAATTAAAATAATAGTTTTCTTAATGAAAAAAAATTGCAGTTGCCCATTAAAATGAGAGCGAGTTGACAAGTCATTAGGCTTCGTGTTGAGTGAACTGCAGCCGAATAATCGACGGCAGCGAATGAACACCGATCGCGAAATACAAATAAAGACTGAAGCGAAGTGGATATCGCGGTCATCGCAAGATCACCAAATTTAATATCGCATCGTGCGAAATATGACATCGCATCATTGCCATCAGCATCGTCGCAAGTTGTCACGCAACAGTGAAACGTAACATTTGAGGCTTCGGCAGTGAGCAGTTTCACACCAGCGCGCGCGTGTGTGTGTGTCAGACGCCGTGCCCCAAGGGAAATTGATCAACAAAGCCAACTCTTTAAGTCACTTCAATGTCTCGTCATCCGCACGACGGGGTTTAGGGGCCATCCATTTAGTGGGTACGCAAAAATCTGTCAAATCTTGAGCCCCCCACCTCCCTCCCTGTAGGCACGCCGACTTTTTACACCCCCCCCCCCCCACACCGAATCCTATAGAACGGTCGATATTTAATCCACGCAAAAACGATCTAGGATTAATAATATTCACGTGTTTAAGCAAACAGATAGTCCACCGCCGGACTATCTAACTCATTTGAAGGCCAAGGTAGACAAATTAATTATTATCGAGGCTTCACCCCCCCCCCCCCACCCTGTTCCATATGCGTACATTGACAGTAGACCCCCCATACGCAAGCTAAGCATTGGGGTTAACCCCCCCACTCCCCCCTCCATGCGTACTACTAAATGGATGTCCCCTAAACAAACATCATCGCGAGTCGCCCCAAATAACGACCAAAGCTCCTCGGGCACCGCGGATCGCCCGGCTCCTCGTCAGCTTCCATCTCCCGCTCCTCGTGCCGACATCCTCAATGGTCGGGTGTGGCGTGTGTGGTGTGTGTGGTGTGTGTGTGGTGTGTGATGTGTGTGGTGTGTGTAGTATGTGTGGTGTGATGTGTGTGGTGTGTGTGGTGTGGTGTGTGTGGTGTGTGTGTGGTGTGTGGTGTGTGTGTGATGTGTGTAGTATGTGTGGTGTGATGTGTGTGTGTGGTGTGGTGTGTGTGGTGTGTGTGGTGTGTGTGGTGTGTGGTGGTGTGTGTGGTGTGTGGTGGTGTGTGTAGTATGTGTGGTGTGGTGTGTGTGGTGGTGTGTGCGGTGTGGTGTGGTATGTGGTGTGGTGTGTGGTGTGGTGGTGTGTGGTGTGTGTAGTATGTATGGTATGGTGTGTGTGGTGTGTGTGTAGTATGTGTGGTGTGGTGGTGTGTGTGGTGTGTAGTGTGTGTGGTGTGTAGTATGTGTGGTGTGCTGTGTGGTGTGTGTAGTATGTGTGGTGTGGTGGTGTGTGTGGTGTGTAGTATGTGTAGTGTGGTGTGTGTAGTATGTGTGGTGTGGTGGTGTGTGTGGTGTGGTGTGTGGTGTGTGTGGTGTGGTGGTGTGTGGTGTGTGTAGTATGTGTGGTGTGGTGGTGTGTGTGGTGTGGTGTGTGCGGTGCTTGTGGTGTGTGTAGTCTGTGTGCGTGTGATGTGTATGGCGTGGCACTGTGGTGTATGGGGAGCGGTAGCGCGCTGCGCTACGAACCTGGCGACCCGGGGTTCGATTCCCGCTCACGGCCAACACCAGTGACGATTATCTGAACCGGTCCTGGGCCTCCCCTAGGTCGACTCAGCCTCAAGTGAGTACCTGGTGCGCTGCGTAAACAGCGTGACTAGGAAGACAAAGGCGGCCGTGCGTGGTGTTGGCTACCCACCCCCTCGTGTGCCGTGCCGGCCTTCATAGGATCTGTGTCCAGCGTGGAAGAGGAGGCCAAGCACGCCCCTAAAGAACTCCCTCGTGGATACCAAAGAAACCGTTGCCTCGGGTTTCTTTGGTTTCTGTTTTCGGCTTCTTGGGTTTCTGAGCCTCAGTTTCTTGGGCTTCTATTTTTCATTTCTTGGGTTTCTGAGCCTCAGTTTCTTGGGTTCCAGATTTATTTATTTTAGTTTCTTGGGTTTCTGAGCCTCAGTTTCTTGGGTTTAAGATTATTATTTTAGTTTCTTGGGTTTCCGAGTCTTAGTTTCTTGTGTTTCAAATTTTTTTTTAGTTTCGTGGCTTTCTGAGCCTCAGTTTCTTGGGTTTCTGGGCCTCTGTTTCTTGGGTTTCAGGGGAAAATGTTTCTTGGGTTTCTAAGCCTCGGTTTCTTGGGTTTCATATTTGTTTTGTTTCTTGGGGGTTCTGAGCCTCAGTTTCTTGGGTTTCAATTTTTTCTTTCGTTTCTTGGGTTTTCTGAGCTTCAGTTTCTTGGGTTTCAGATTTTCTTGGTTTCTTGGGTTTCTGAGCCTCAGTTTCTTGGGTTTACCTTAAGGGGGTTGTTTCCCCCTCACCCCCCCCCCCCAAGTCGAGTTCTCGCTGACCTGAGGCCCTCTGGGACAGGATGCGGTGTGCAAATGTGGACAATGGCACAAGAGGTGTAATTAGCTGCGAGATGCAGAGACGGAGACACAGTGGGATGAGAGGGGAGACGACAGATGCATGTACGTGCGTTGAACTTCTTTCGCACCGTACGTAGCCAACCGCGTTAATCGGAGGTGCGGGGGAAAGACAACAAACTTAACGCAAGAAGCAGTTCTAAAGTAAATGAGTTTGTCACTCTGGGTGGCGATTCGAAAGTGGATAGCTCCAATGGCTTCCTAATATCTGAAGGAAGAGCGTTCCAGACGGCCGTGGAAGCGCATCTGAAGATAAGCGACGAAAGAGATGAATTTGTTGTTTTTGTTTTGCGTTAATTGGCTCCTTATCTGTATTAGATCATTCGAGTTGACCATTCGCTTTACCCCCCCTCCCCCACCGTGTAACCTGAATCTTGAGCCACTTGGGGCAACAAGGACTGATCCTCGGGGATCCTTGGGGATCCTTGGGGCTCACGAACGCGAGAGGCGACTCAGCTGCAGGAATCTGGACGGAGCCAAGGTGCCTCTCAGCGTGACCAGATGCAGTCGGAGTGCCGCCCGGGACTCCCACTCTCTGCAACAACAAAAAACCGTGGAGATGAACAAAAGCCACACGGGAGACACAGAGAGACAGAGAGGGAGACAGAGAGAGAAACAGAGAGGGAGACAGAGAGAGAGAGAGACAGAGGGAGACAGAGAGAGAGACAGAGAGGGAGGCAGAGAGAGACAGAGAGGGAGACGCAGAGAGGGAGACACAGAGAGAGACAGCGAGGGAGACACAGAGAGAGAGAGACAGAGAGACAGAGGGAGACAGAGAGAGACAGAGAGAGACAGAGAGGGAGACAGAGAGAGACAGAGAGGGAGACACAGAGAGAGAGACAGAGAGAGAGACAGAAAGGGAGACACAGAGAGACAGAGAGGGAGACACAGGGAGAGACAGAGGGAGACACAGAGAGAGAGACAGAGGGAGACACAGAGAGACAGAGAGGGAGACACAGAGAGACAGAGAGGGAGACACAGAGAGAGACAGAGAGGGAGACAGAGAGAGAGACAGAGAGACAGAGGGAGACAGAGAGAGAGACAGAGAGGGAGACACAGAGAGACAGAGAGGGAGACACAGAGAGAGACACAGAGAGGGAGACACAGAAAGAGACAGAGAGAGACACAGAGAGAGAGACAGAGAGAGACAGAGGGAGACACAGAGAGAGAGACAGAGAGGGAGACACAGAGAGAGACAGAGAGGGAGACTCTTATTCTTAGCTCTTTCGGTAAAGTCACGTTGAAGGGAAACAATAAAATAATAAAAAATATATAAAACAATAAAAATTCTCACGACGTTTCGACCATAACACAAACGGTCGTCATCAGGTGTGTCGGTTTGTTTGAGAGTCGTAGGCGGTGCACCTCGAGCGAGTCAATCGACTTCTGAATGTAAAAGCCGCCCCCCGCCCCCCCCCTAGCTACACCACCCACGGCCGATAATCCCAAGACATTTGTCTCTCTACCCCATCGGGGGATAGAGTGTGGGGGGGGGGGGGTTATGGGGGATAGGGTGGGGGGTTTGGGGAGATAGGGTGGGGGCGGATAGGGTGAGGGGGTTGAGGGGATAGGGTGGGGGGGTTGGGGGGAACAGAGTGGGGGGTTGGGGGGATAAGATTGGGGGGATAGGTTGGGGGGGGGGATAGGCTGGGGGGGGGGGGGGTCGGAACCTGTGGTCGCGCTGCGGGGGCCACGGGTGCGTGAAGGGAGAGGCGAGGGGAGGCCACCGAGTCCAGGTCACGGGGTCATGACCCCGCGTGAACCTGGATGGCGAGCGGAGCGGTGTCGCAGGCAGTGCCCAGGTGGAGACCTGCAAGAGGTCGCCACCACCACCAAGATCATCAAGATCAGCAGCACCACCACCATTCTCATCACCACCACCACCACCACCACAAACGCCTTCTCCGTCGTCAACACCATCATCATCATTTCCACACCTACGAGTGTCAACAATTTGCACCATCACCACAATCATCTTTATCATGACCACCACCATGACGATCATCTGCAACGCCACCAACCCCCCCCACCCCCCTCCACCACTCCCGTACCGTGGTGGGTGCCCGCCCCCGGCTTGCGGCGTTCATCTGGAGGAGGGGGGACACGCAGGAGGGGTGAGCGCCCCTCGGTGGGGCTCTGAGCGCCGTGGGACATAGCGGCGGTAGTGGCGTCCGGGCCAGGCTCTGCTTCTGCACGACGGACAGCTCCTGGCGCAGGTCTGAGACGCACGGGGGGAAGGGGGGTGGGGGGGCAGTGTGAGCGGGGACCGGTGCCTTGAGACGGACGGGGGTCATGGGACACTCAGGGTTGAGGGTTAGAGGTTCAGGGAGGGTTCAAGGATCAGGTTTCAAGCATTCCAGTAACAATACTGGATCCCCGTGTTCTGGATACATGGTGAGTACTGGACCCCCCCCCCTCCGTGTGTGGGTCCACGGTGAGCACCGGACACCCCCCCCCAGCCCCCCCTAGCCCCCCCTGCCCCCCATGAGTGTCTCGACGTCGGAGCGCACCGCGCGCCTCCTCCCGTAGGCGCTGCGTCTCCACGCGCAGGAGGTCGCGCTCCTCCAGCTCGACCTCGAGCAGCGCCTTCCCCTCGAGCGTCGCGTTCAGCTGCCGCTCGACTTCCTCCAGGGACGACAGCGCCACCCTGCGGCAACAGCAGCAGCAACAACAACGACTCCAGCGGCGACGAAGACGGAGGAAGAAAAATCATGCACACGCATGGATTCTTTCGCGATATACAAACATACGCGTATGTATGTTGAACTTCGTTCGCACCGTACGTGGCCAACCGTGCTAATCGGAGGTGCGGGGAATATGTAACAAACTTAACACACAAAAGTCTTCTTAAAAAAATATATCTTAGAACAAGGGATGTTATAGAGTACAGAATGTATGTTGAACTTCTTTCGCACCGTACGTAGCCAACCGTGCGAATCGGAGGTGCGGGGGAAGGACAACAAACTTAACGCATTAAGCAGTTTTTAAAACAGGTCCCTGCAGGGTGGGCTGGTAGGACAAGTTTCTGCGCTGTCTATTGCTGATTTTACACCCAACAGCACGAGATTTAACTTCGTTAAAGTATTGAAAGGGGACGGACGGACACATTCATCTATTGCAGGCTGGTACACTCAGTTTACAACTTCGTTCCTACCAGTATAAATTATATCTTAGAACTAGGGACAATGTTTAACACATTTTACAGTAATACCCCGGTTTATGTCGGGGATGCGTTCCTGAAAGGTGCGACGACGAATATCGAAACGACGTAATAAGTCGAAGCGATGTACAGGGTAGGGAGGCTGCGGTGGAGGAGAAGGCAGAGAGGCGACGGGTAAATGATGATGCTGTCAGCGGCGTAAGTGTGGGGTTGAGACGACGCAAATCGAGTTCGTGGTAATGAATAAAGTGACGACGTATTTGTGAAACGACGTCAAACGAGGAGGGGGGGGGGCAGGCTATGCGAATCGGGGTATGACTGTATTTATACTTTGTGGGTGACAGGTAGTTAGGGATATATGTAGGTACAGTATGGGTGGATTCCTAATATACCGTATGTACTGAAAGTGGGTATCAAATGTGGGGAGTGGGGAGTACGTTGGTTAGCGGACTGCGCTGCGAATCCAAAGGTTGCTTCCCGCTCGCGGATAAAAAAAAATCAGTGGCAAATATTTGAACCGGTCCTGGGGCCTCGGGTCGACTGAGCCTCAAATGAGTGCCTGGTGCGATGTGTAAACATCGCTAATCGGGGGATCGGGGAGGGGGGGAGACAAAGGCGGCCTCCCGGGCGTGGTGCTGGGCCACCCACCCCCGCCTCGCGTGTCATTCCCTGACCAGCACTTGCCCCAACACTCCGCGAAGGGCTGTACGCATGGAACCTTTGCCTGTGCGCGCGCACGCACCTGAGCGCGCGCTCCAGGTCGTCGTTGCGCTGCTCCAGGAGGCGCACGAGGCCCCTCTCGGCCTCCCGCGTCTCGCCCGCCTCCCTCAGCGCGCTCTCCACGTGGGTCACGCGCGCACTCCACTCGGCGCGCTCCCGGGACGCGCGCGCCTTATTGCGAAACCGGGGATCAGAGCGGCGGGGGTCGGGAGGAGCGGGGATCGGGGAGCGGGGGAGGGTTGGGAGGGGGGGTAACAAGGGTTGGGGGGGGCGGGGGAGCGGTCATCGTTAATAATATTAATACTTTCATAATTCATGCCAGTTAATGAGTGAAATAATGGTTCGGCCAGTGACGAAGCCAGTAAATGAATGGGAGAGTGAATGAGCGGGTGAAGGCGTGAGTGATCTTTGATATAAGCCAACAGTGAATGAATGAGCGAATAAAACAGTAATAAGCAAGCGCGTGAATGGATGAGCCACTGACTAAGCGAGCACGTGCGCGCTTGAATGAGCGAGTGACGAGGTGGATGAGGTACGGGTGGCGGATGACCCCTCGGTGTCGTCCCCAACCCCCCATCGTTGCCCTACCCGCGTGTCCCGCAGGTCGCGCTCCAGGCTCCGCGCCCTCTCCTCGGTGCGTCCGAGCTCCCGCTCGAGCTCCCGCTCCAGCGCGTGCGACGCCGCGCGGAACTCCCTCTCGATCTCGCGCTCCGTCTCACGCTCCAGCTCCGTCTCGCGCTCCGTCTCCCGCTCGCGCTCCGTCTCGCGCTCCGTCTCACGCTCCGTCTCACGCTCCAGCTCCGTCTCGCGCTCCGTCTCGCGCTGCGCCTCCGTCTCGCGCTCCGTCCTACGCTTCTGCTCCGTCTCACGCTTTAGCTCCGTCTCGCGTTCCAGCTCCGTCTCGCGTTCCAGCTCCGTCTCACGCTCCAGCTCCGTCTCACGCTCCAGCTCCGTCTCGCGCGGCGGATCCGTCTCGCGCTGCGGCTCCGTCTCGCGCTGCGGCTCCGTCTCGCGCTGCGGCTCCGCCTCGTGCTGCAGCTCCGTCTCGCGCTGCAGCTCCGTCTCGCGCTGCAGCTCCATCTCACGTTCCGTCTCGCGCTCCGTCTCACGTTCCAACGCCGTCTCCCACTCCAGCTCCGTCTCCCACTCCAGCTCCGTCTCCCACTCCAGCTCCGCCTCGCGCTCCAACTTTCCATCGCGATCCAGCTCCGTCTCGAGCATGAGCTCCGTCGTCTCGTCTCTCCGCAACTCCCGCTCCGAGTGCGACCGCCCTATCCGATCCAGCACCACCACCGGCTCCGAGCGCAACGCTGCCGACATTTCACGCTCCGTCTCCACGCGCTGTCCCCTCCACGGCACGTGGATCGTCTCCCCGTCTCCCTCCCTCTCGACGCCGTTCGCCACTTCCTGCGGCGTTCCCCCCCAAGGACGCGGCTCCTGCGTCTGTTCGGGCTGCAGATATAAACTACACACCCGGAGTGTAACTCGGGGTGTAGTAACTCGGGGTACACCGACCCGGACTCTATATCTTAACGCAAGCTGTGGTAACTCAAGGTACACTGATCTAGGTTATAACTCAAGTTGTAGTAACTCAAGGTACACTGCCCTTGGCTGTAACTCAAGTTGTAGTAACTCAAGGTACACTGCCCTGGGCTATAACTCAGGTTATAGTAACTCAGGGTACACTGCACTGGGCTATAACCCAGGCTCGAGTAACTCGGGGGTCAACTGACCGGGACTAAAACTCTGGATATTGTAACTCGGTGTAACACCGAACCGGGCTATTACAATGCCGATATAATGGAGTGGTGGCGCAGTGGTTACCGCACTGCACGATCAATGAGAATGCCCCAGAGTTCAATTCCCACACCTGCGCCTACCCCTCCCTCCCCCCTTCACTTAATCCACACGGACTTTCATCCAGCAGTGGACGGATACTGAACTGTACATACCAACTAAGGCGACACCAACCCGGGCTACGGCGATTCACAGACAGCCGAGGGAATGCGCGGCACAACTCAACGCTAATGTGTAAATTATATTTTTTTTTTAACGAAAGAGTCGCTCCCACTGCTGATGTCACGCGCGTCCTCGCCCGCGGGCGTTTTAATGCTCCGCACTATATATATCATTGGGCAAACAGGTTTGTTAAAAATCATCGTCGGCGTGACTCGTGTCTCATCGATACGTGTTACCACCACCACCACCACCGACCTAACTACTACCTCTTCTACCTGTGTTATGACGGAGCCGGTCGCGATCCACAGCGTGAATCGTTTATAGCTAAAGCCACGTCTTGATTTCAGCCGGAGCTATCCAATAAAAAGGGGGAGGGGGGGTGGTGTTGCGGAAGGTGAGATGATTCCATGAGAGAGTAAACCTTGCAGACACCCCTACGACAGCAAGTGTTCTTCACATATTTTCAGAGGGGGGGCCCCCCCACTTCCGCCGATAAGACATCACCAGTGTGCGGAGGGGCGCCACACGTTTCTAACCATTGGGGGGGGGGGGGGGGGCTTGACAGCAGCACGATGACGAGGATGATGATGGGGTGTTTTCACATTTGTGTATTGTCGGAGGCCGCATGTCAGGCGGCCGAAATAAAGGCGACCGGGGCCTTGCATTGAAGAACACGGCACCAGAGTCAGCATCGGCCGCCTCGGTCGAGCCACTGCTTGATGAAAGGCCCACGAGGAGTATTGTTATTATTATAAATGGCAGGATCCTGCGAAGAAGCTGTGGCGATAAACGCAAACCGATGTAAGAGGGCGAATAATGCAAAGCGGAGGCGGGCGTTTGCAGTGCACAGTTTTATTCACAAAACACACACAAGGGGGCCCTGGGGGCACGCAATGGGGAATGGGCACGTGAAGGGGGGAGGGGGTTCGGGGGGGGGGGTGCAGCCACCCTGAGACATAGCTCACAGAGACAGCGAACCTGAGCACAGCTCACAGAGACAAGTGACCTTGAGACACGATCCCGAGACGACTCACAGTGACCTTGAGACGGCTCGGGGAGAGACAGACATCGATCCCGAGCCACCGCTCGGGGTGGACGATGGCGGTTTCACATTGATTCACGTCGCCCGACCCGGCTCAGGTTAACCCCTAACCCCAAAAACGCAACATCGTGACCCCAACTCGGGTTTAACTTTCACACTCACGTTTTTAATATGGTCAGTTTGGAACCCCTCCCCCTTTGGTTATTTCCTACCCCGCCCTTAAATGGATTAAACCTTTCTCAGGGTAACCCTAAGTACGCCTCCGATACATTTACCCTGCATTGCGTTAACCATAAGCTCCCCCCCAACACATTAACCCCCCCCCCCCACCCCCGTCTCGGGTTCACCCCGACTCCTGCACCATCGTACCCCAGTGTCATGGTCCCAAGACTCCTCTCTTTCAGGGCAGGTCCTGCTTTTTTTGCGTCATATTGCCAATTGCAGCATTCCGGACCCACCCTCGCATGTCAGGGGAGGACCACACACCAATTAAACACTACACGGATAGGTTGTGACGCATACTTGCGGTGCCGACGCCTACAGGCACCTCGCCCGTTGCCTTTGTAGTCGTCGGGGGCGTCTCGTACGCACGATGCCCATCCGTGCGCGATCGACCAAACCCACCCCCCCCACCCCCCCCCAGTGAGCTCTCACCCCTGAGTAGACAAATCCGCGATACCGGCCGATCCACAGCCTGCAGCCCACGGGCTAAAGATTTTTTGCGGGCTGCGGACAGGAGGGCGCGCGCCACCGCACGGCGAACGCGGTTCTGCCTGCAAATGCGGCCCCACACGTTCCTAGACATTTCGACAGGGCGGCGTAATCCGCCTCGGACGGCGACGATTCGTAAGAAATACGCGTGACATCCTTTTCCCTTTCGCGTATTGACGCTCAACCAAGGTTCATCATCGTCATCCGTTACCGTGGCTGTCATCGTTAGCATTACCGTGATCGTCGTCGTCGTCGTCGTCGCCGCCGTGGGCAACTGCACATGCCCAGGTGCGCGGTGATAACACCGTTGCTGCACACCTGGCGGCCTAAATGTTTAAATGTTACACTCTTTAATAACCGGCACTGTAAATCAACGAGTGTGCAGTTGACCAAAACGAATGCGCATCTCAAAATATGTACAGTTCTAATCGTAGACACCCGCACCAGGGCGGTGTGTCCTGCTGGGCTGTCCGCCGATCTTTGATCATAAAGGGAAAAAAAAAGATTACTTCAAAATCATGGTCATGCAATCCATCGTTGCGCTTGAGTGGCACCACCGAAATGTTGGATATGGCGTCACGTTGACGGCACTAGACGCCACCATGATTACTTTCTCACGAGCAAAACGTCAGACGTGGCGTGGGACACAGCCCGGGACGCACGGCCTTGGTGCGTGTCTACAATACAAGAGCTGTTTTTTTCTGTTTTCTTGGGTTATGGCTTCCTTCAAGAAAAGAAAAAAAAAACACTCGCAGGCTTTCTTCGCCGCGCGACATCTGCGACCAGATGTATTGAATCACGCGGGTCGAGAGCAATCACGCGGGGCTGCCCGATTACCCGAACCGACGCGTGTGGCCGCTGAGAAATGTCTTCAGTATGTTTCTATATGCGGACGATCGGTGACGATGCACACGTCGGTGGCCGACACAATCCCAGCCCGGGCGCAGCGGCGACCCGCCAGGCTCTCAAACGACCCACCGACACACGCGAGCGCGCGCGAGACCGCACCCGAAGCGTTTTCGTCGCCCGCTCGAACTTTCCGTTTCGTTCGACGTCATTCTGCCGTTCGAACTGTGCACTGAAAGCACGGGGGGGGGGGGGGGACACCCGTGGCATGTTTTGTTCCCACGGCAAAAAAGAATGTTGTTTTGTTGGAAGGCATGCTCGCCGGATTTCCCGAACAGCTCGAGGTGGGAATTCACACCATCGGTCGGGGGGTGGCCACTTCTTGAATTACGAACTCGCACTCAAAATCTGGCCACGCCATCGGCACAAACTAGCGTCTTAACACGACTCTTCCAACGTCCCCTTGGAGTAGGATGCCAGTCCTTCTCTCTCCCCGAGCACCGCGCTCGCCTCATACGTTTCAAAATCGACCGAAAGTTGCACGCAACGTTGCGGCCGCTATCGTTTACACGTTAACATTTCATCAGGATGGGGCCGGTGTGTATTGCTCCATGCGACGCAAAATGCCCCACGCGCGCGGATGCCACGAGGCCAACTCTACGGCTGCGTAACGCCGGGGTTAGCGCGTCAAATCCACGCGATCTCGTAGTAAAAAAAGGTTTTCTTTATACATGATATGTACACAGGCATCGCACCCATTGTCCATTTGGGGTACCGGACGTGCCTGCACGAATACTGGCGGCTCAAGGAAGATGAACGAGGCACGGGGGATGGAAGGAGAAACTTAATCTCAAGAGGTAAAATTAAATGTGGTGGTGGTGGGGGGGGAATTCAGGGGGGGAAGGGAGACGGGAGAAGCAAGAGGCGACCAGAGGGTAAGTGGCGCTGCCATTAACCTGGCAGTTTTCTGCTATAGCGGCTGTCACTGGCGCGTAGTTTGGGTGGGCGGTTTACGTGCCGAGTGGTTTACGTGCCGAGTGGTTGCGTGCGGTGCGCTGTTTTATGCAGAGCAAGGCAGAAACTACTGCGTCCTGGACTGCATAACACGGCACACGTGCGCGTACACTAACACACGCGCGCGCGCGCGCACACTTACAGGTGACGCGACTACACACGACACGGATGTAAACGGGAGGTTGTGTGCACGCTCAATGCTTCTCTCTTGCTGCTCCAGTCCAGATGTTCATTCCTGCTCAACACATTTCACGGTTAGCAGCGTAGCAACGCACACCGCGTGGTCACCCCCCCCCCCCCCCCCCCGATAACTTCAAAGATTCGGGGGGGGGGGGGGGGAGGGTCGCGGTTTCATTCGAAGAATCGATTATCTTTTCGTATCGTTTTGCATCGTCACGTTTGGATTGGTCCTTTCTTTTTCGCGCGTCTCGTTTGTACAGCTTTGCTTCGGCACTATCGGCCGAGATGAGAACACAAACGAACGGGCAATCATTTCCAAATTCAATGTAAATACATTATTTTTTGTTTTACTTACACGCGATAACATTTTATGTGCATCCTCAAAGAGTAACAATCCGTTTGAATCGACGCTTTGATGCACTGTTACACGCCCAAACCTCACGTACGATGCCGCTCATCATTAATATTTACACGCAGCAACATGGGCGGCGGGGGTGAAAATGTGGACTGGAATTAAGTAGGTTCAAAGGCCAATCCAACTGGGATTTTTAGTGTCCTCCTCGAACTTCGGGTCTCCCTTGCCAGAGACGCATTCCCCCGCCGGGTTTCTAACCTGGTGACCAAATCAGTTCCAATCGACGACCGCTGTCGTCGCCACCACCTCCCCTGCGTTCAAGTCGGAGCCGAGTTCAGAATAAGCCGAGCGTTCGTATCGCAATGGTCCAACATCCTCTTACAACGGAGTTGAACGCAACGCTACGGCCGCTGTCATTCACACGTTAACATTTCTTCAGGACGGGGCCGGCGTGTATTGCTCCATGCAATGCAAAATGCCCATTTTTAGTCAGAACAGAGTTCATGATAAGCCGAGCGTTCGTATCTTAACGGTCAAACCTCCTCTCATACAAAAGCGGCCCGCAGAGCAAAAACCGAGTCGCCCACCCTCTCCGCAAGGTGCAAATAATAACGCTCTACATTTTTTTCCCGAGGAAAGCCTCGCGAATTCAAGACTTTTTTTATTTTATTTTCCCCTCCGAAGGGTCCTTTGCCCCAGGATGTTTGTCAAACTCCACAAACGAGCGGTTCGGTTTACGTTGGGAGGAAAAAATGTGAACACGAGGGGGAACTATGAATGAGGATCTCAAAAGTTAAATTCTCTTCAAATAGATTCAATAATCCATTGCTGTACCGCCACCTCCTGGCCACCGTACACAGCCACCAAGCCTACAAAACACCTGCGCTATTCACAATGCAGCAGTCTCCCAACACCAAGTGCTCATACGAAGCCCAACCCTGCTCCATCGTGCGAGACCCAGCGACGATATCGGCCGTGGGACTGCCGCCGCACGTCCATCGCCCTACGGTGGGAGAAAATGTCCTCGACTAACATTTTTTTGGATGCCGCTCCCACGGTGCCCTCTGCTGCCGTTGGTGATGCATCTCGCGTGCTCCGCTCCACGACCAGAAGCCCGTCTTGAGCCGTGCGCGCGCGGGCGTAATAATAGTTGTAGCAGTGGGGCGCCCGCTCAGCTCGTCCACTCGACGCTTTTCTTTTTTTTGGGCACCGTTGAAAAAAGTGAACATGCACGAAAGCGTCCACTCTCCTCCGGCGGATTCACAAACCACAGCGCAAAGAGCAAAAGCAACAAAAAAAGGGGAATGCTAAGACACCGCAATGCACGTAACAAAATCAAAACCCACTGAGATTCCCAAATTTCGAAAACGTTCACGGACGTCCGGCGGGGTGGTGGACGCGGTGAGCGGGCGTCACCGAAACCGCTCACCGTGAAGGCGATGGGGAAATGTCTCTGGGTCGTAGCTTGCCGGGCTGGTTGACCCAGCCGATACAAGCTATTGTAAGGGCCGGAAATCAAGCCCAGAGGAGGTTAGCAGAGGAGGGTCAGATGGGGGAATGGGGGGGGGGGGGGGACAACTAACCCCTTCAAATACCCACCCTGGTGCCTCCCCCGAATGCAACGCAGCAACGCTTGCTCAGGTAATGAATAAGCGGCTGCCACGGGCACTGGTGGCGGTGCCACCCGAGATGTGTCAAGCGGATCCCATTGGATGGGACAAAATCAGAAGTGAAACCGAACGAGGCCGCAGGTGGGCCCCACCCCTCGTCGCCATTGGAATGCCAATAACAAATCGCCGGGCATCGGAAAAAAAAAGTGGCCACGGGTGCTAAAGAGTTCATTGAATTCCTTGGGTACGAATTTTGTTGCGAGGAGAAAGACCTCTATAGCTTCGATGCATTTAGCTATGGCTCAAGTTCCCATAAAAGTTTAAAATAAATTCAGAAAACAATTTCATGAACAATTCTATGAATCTTAAATTGACATATTTAACAGGAAAATCTCACCCGGGCTTAGATACTTTTCTAGGAAGCTTCTAATTGCGGTGTTTGGCCGATTCTAAAAACTGATAAAGACACAAACGCGCACTGGGTGGAAGACACAATCTCGTTAATTAAAAAGCGCAAAAAAACAAACCCCCAACAGCAGCAGTAACAAACTGCGACCCACAACCCTCGCCCTCAGGCCCTGCCCAGCTCCACCAACCCCAAGCATCGCCCAGCCAAGGCCGGGGCTCGAAACAACAACAAAAAATCACCAACACTCGGCGAGGGATACCGCAAGACACATCGACAAGAGCTCCCAGTGCCCTCTTTACGATGAACATTGGGTCACCAAGAGCAGGTCACCCCTGCACTGCACACCCCTCCTCCCCCCCCCCCCCCACTGCGTATGTTAGCTCTTAAGCCTAGCCGCTATAGCACATACAGTCCCAAACTTTGTTTCGACAGTCTCACTTGTTGGTACTGCTTCGTCTGAGCAGGGGCGACGTGCAAGCGCCAATAAAGGTGCGAGCACTGCCACAGACGGAGGCAAACGCGATGCAATAAGAGACGGCGCAGTCTTGGTGTCGCTCATTTCGACCACCAACATGGCAGAGTTCATGCCACCAACATGGCGGACTGATATGTCACATGTGCACAAACATGCACATTCCACCCCCCCCCCCCCGGGACCCCCCCCCCTCACCTTCCCACCTTCTTCCTGCAAACACCCCCCACCACCCCCCCCCAAATCCACCTTCCCACTAACAAAATAAAAACGTGCAGCACCCCGAGCCAATGAACACTCTTCGCTGTTAAAATAAATGGGCACCCCGACCTCGACTTCCGACGGAGAGCCGCTCCCCCCGTCCCCACCATCCCCCCCCCCATCCTCTACCCGCCCCAACCCCCTCCTCCCCAACCGCCCACGAGAGACGCGGTGGGGTGGCGAGCGCGGTTGCGATCTATGCAAGGTTTGCATATTTCACAATGGTCGACGCTCGGCCCCCGAACTCACGGCGCGTCAAGGCGACGCGACGCTCGCGCCAAGTGGGAGTGGGGGGGGTGGCGAGGGGGGGCGTGGCATGGAGGGGGGGGGGGGCAAGGTGTGCGGCGTGCGGGGGGTGGGATCGTTGGCACCGGCATCACTGGACGAAGAAAAGAAAACCTCTCGGGGGGGGGGGGGGGGGGGGGAGCAAGCGCACGGGGGGGTCAATCCGCACGGCAGCCCGACGCAACCACCAGGCTTAAAACCAGGTGGGGCCCTCCATAACTTTCGCCGGAGGTTAAAACTAAGTGGATGACTACACACCGGTTCACCCTGACGAGGGATCCATCAGTCGAGTGTATTCCTACGCTGACAAGGATGTTCCTATCGGGCAGTTGATACGTAACAGCCCGCTCCACAAACCGTGGAGCTTCTGTGAAAAAAACGAATACTGGCACAGCCTGAAGGATTGCTACGAGAAGAAAAGCAACCTCTCCAGGCTGAAGAGAGACCCCCCCCTCTCCCCGTCCCCAAGAGCTGGGACTAAAAGGAATGCACCTGGGCTTGTAACATAGAGAGGTGAAACGGCATTGCGATGCTTGGGGCAGGGAGTAGAGAACCGGACTCAAGTTCACGTGCCCGACACACCCAGTACACACACGCACGCACAGAGAGATACACACGCCTGGGAAACTATACAGTGTGTGGCATGCTCTCGTGCATCGCACACACACACACACACACGCGCGTACACACACACACACGCACGCGCACACACGCACACACACGCTCACACACAATTGTGTGTTGACTTACAGCGCGCGCAATAACACAACGAAGAAAATGCGGATTGTGCACAATACAGCACCCGCACGCGCAACATGGCCACGCTCTCACGTCACAAAAAAAAAACCACGAGACACACACGAAGAATTAAGATCCCCTGCACAGCCTTGTAGTCTGTCGGGGCAAGTGCTGTAAGTGAGCAACTATTAAGGCCGTCGCAGCGCACGTGGAGGTGGTGTGGCCAGCACCACGCCCGGCCGATTGTTGGCCCAGCTGATGTTTTCATAGTGCACGAGGTACTCATTTGAGGCCGAGTCGACCGAAGGGAGGCCCACGACAGGTTCCGACACCACTCGCTACTGATATTGTCCGTGGCTCGGGGTCGAACCTAGGTCGCTGGGATATTGGCGTAGTTCACCAACCACTGCATCACCGTTTTCCACACAAGGGCAAGGAGTAACACAAACGTGGTTTTGTGCTACGCATATGCAACGACATGCGCGCACGCGCGCGCACACACACGCATACACGCGCACACACACGCATACATGCTTACGCATGCACAAGAGGCTGCTGCCAACCGACACAGGCACACGCGCACACACACACAGACACACCAGCCCCTGCCCTCAACGCCAATCGCCAAAAAGCACCACCGTTCCCCGTGACATCTCAGTCAGGAATCTTCCTGCCGTAGCCTCTTCCACTGCCTGGAAGGCGCAATGCACGACTGAGACCCAGGCTAGGCAGGCAAGGCCACCCACTCTGTGCAACAGGCGTGACAGCTCAAAACATTAAAAACAATGGTTTGGAAGGGCGGTCGAGAACGTTAGAACCGCGACACGGGAGTTGGACGTCTCGCCGCACCCTCCCCGGGAAAACCTGCCCCTGGTGGACGCCAATAGTCATCCTCAGGATGTCGCTACCCCTGACTACAAATCCAGGAGAACGAAAGAGAGCGAGGCATGAATGAAGGGAGAGAAAGTAAACGTAATCTCTAGATGCCAGCGAAGACGCTGCCCTTATTCCCTTGCATTATTTTCATGCCTTTTTATTTCATTTTGTTTTGTCATCGGTTTGGGCGCCCATTCGGTCGCAGTAACGGACGGGCGCCGGTCCTGCGAGCTCAAACCGAATTAAAACTCTTCGCGGCGAGTTCAAAGAGTGGTGTACGCAATAAAAACACGGGGAGCTACTCGGTGGGAGACATAACGGGAGGGGGGTGGGGCAGTAGGGTGGAGTGGGTTGAGGGGTGCAACAGATGAAAAGGAGAAAATAATCCCCAACGATAATATCCGATAGGGCCCTGGCAGCTGCGGGACGAGTTGCGTCGGAGCTCAAGAGACGGATACCAAAAAAACCACGGGGGATGAGGAGCGGATAGGGTCGATGGCAGGAGGCACCGCGGGAGCTTTGGCCTTAAGGCTCGAGGCCTACAGACGGACGGACGTGCGGCTGGACGCAGGGCTACGGCACGCGCTTTCGCCACTCTTGCCTTTTAACGTAACGCTTCGCTTAATCTCAAGCCAGGTTTCAACAATTCAATATTCCAGTCACGCAACTTAATCGTAACGCCTCGAAGTCCTCGCAATGAAGGAGAGCGGATGTAACGTTTACGCGTTCGATCCTCTAACCGAGACAAAAAGGTGTAACTCGGCTCGATGGCAGGCCGCCCCATCCCCTCTCTCTCCCACCAATCCGGCAGCGGTGGGGGAGACGCGTCAGAAATGTTTTGGCCAAGGGGATCACCGAGCCCGAAGCGTGCGTTGGGGCATCGGCTTAAACGCGTCCGAGCCAACGAGAGGCGTGCCCACGTGTGGCGCGTGGCCCCGTCGGCCTCCCATCGTTTAGAACAAAGCAAAATCTAAAACGCCGCCAGCAACAAAGAGAATAACAATTAAGGTGAAGTAGAATCGGTCACTTGGAGCCCAACGCTACCGTGTAGGCGATCGGGGTTGTGCCATCACATCGCTCTCCAAATGCCTTCGGCGTGCCGTTCGGACGTTTCGCGCCGCGTCCTGGGAGATTCAACTCGTGGAGCGAAACGTCGGACATCCTGCCGAAAAAAACACGCGGCACGACGGCAAAATTCATCGGAAGAGCGACCGAGACTGGGAACCCCCTTGCTCGTTGATGATCAATCCTCGAGCAACTATTATTCTAATACAGCGAACAGAATAAATCGGGCTCGACGTCGTTGGATCGGGCCAATCGTGAGCGGAGGTTAGGGGGCACAAACCGCTGTGATTGGCGGTGTCGTGGGGCGAGCGCAGGAGACGCTCGCAGATTCTCAACCGCAACTCCGAACACGCCAAACCGCTGCCTAAGGGGCCTCTCTAGAGCGCCCTCTAGCCGAGACCCCCTCCCCATCACCAGTGGAGAAAGTAATTGCAGGGTTGCGTCTTTATCTTTTAACGCACCTCTACTCCCGGGGATTCCTTGCTGGGAGTTTTACTTTATTTTGGCGGCAGTAAAATTGTGTTCAGGACCTTTCCTCGAGATGCACCTTAAGAGCGATCGAACCACTTCACGTCGAATTTTAGGGTCTGGTCCTATTTATTCCTTTTTATTTTCTCATAATCATCCCAACGGAAGGGCGAATCTACTCGCTGGCGCAAATAATTCATTACACAGCTCGGCGATTAGCAGTGTCGCAGCCAAAACATTCATATTTGAAGGTACCTCGTAGAAAATGTAAACAAAAGTATAAGGAGAAATCATTACCAGTTTCCAATTCAACACGAAGTTTGCTAAACTTTTTGCAAAACTATTCGCGGCCATTAACTGAAAACCTGGCCAAACTTGGGGGCAACGATGATGCAATACGTTTGTCGTTATGCAATTTCCAAAAACGTGGCAACGAAAGTGAGACCAGGGCGCGCTTGAGACCGAAGCCTCGCTAAGTATTTCTCTGCTAAAAAAAAAACTTTCATTTTTATTTTTAAACAATATATAAAAAAAACATTTAAAAAAATATATATAAAGAGTCTGAAAAAAAGCCCACTTTAAGCCAAACTGTGATGATTCGTGTTTCACCGGCCGCAATGAAATTTTGGTTTTGTGTACGAGATTATTATTTTTTTTTTTAAACGCACCGTAGGGACTCTTTTGCTTAGACGTAACCCGCACAACACCGGCGCGGCTCCTGTCGTCCGGACACGGTGCGGGGGTGGCTGCACGTCGCGGGGTTGCCCGACACGAGTGCAAGCCCCCGTCGGGCGAGAACGGCTGCTCTGCAGTGGCAAGCCTGCAGCAGCATGACCGTCACCGTGCGTAGTTTTTAGTACATCACCCTCGGTGGCTGTCTTTGGAGTGGCTTCAAAGTTTGTTTTATGCTCGGCGTGGGCTGCCTTGGGGGGCACGTATTTGAGCTTTCGATAAGTACACGTAAAAAATAACTTAAAGTCAAAGTCGTGCGTTTCTGTCACAGGGCTCGAGTGACACATCACGGCAACAGCCGGTATGGCCGTCGCGGCGACATCGCAAGAGCGCCGTTAACGGGCGTGCTTGATCGTGAACTTTTAAAGCTACTTTTTTGCACGGGCTAAGCTTCAACTTCGCACCGTGGCAGCCTGGGGTTAAGGGGCGCGCGCCTTGGTTTTTTTTTTCGTGTGTCTTAAAAAGGGTGTTTAATGAGCAGGAGGAACTCCTGCAGCGGGCTCGCGCCCTGCGACGATTCCGTGACCTCGGTCACAGTGCTGCTGGTGGTGGCAGTGCTAAGGCACTGCCATGCGTTATCGCCGCGGCGGTGTCGTCGGCGGCGCGGACGTTGAACTGCCGTACCGTGGTCGGCGACGGGACACCTGCGCGGCCGCTGCGCCGGCGCCGTCGGGTCATCGTTAATCTCGCCGTTGGCGCCAAAGCGGCCAGACGGCAAACGGTGCAGACGGCGCCATCGGCGTCGGCGTCGGTTTCCCCTTGCGGGCGCCGTCGCCGCTGGCGGGGCGTCACAGCGGCGCGAGCGAGAAGCTCACCGCCAGGCGGACGCGGGAGCGGCCAGTGCGTCGGCGCGACGGGCTGTCGGGCGCCGCCTCATCCTCCCCTCTCGCGTCATCCCGCCCTTCGCTCTCTTCCTGGACTCCGTCGGCGTCTCCGTAGCTGCTGCTGCCGCCGTTAACACTGTCGGTCTCTCCCGGCCCTGCCGACTCGCATCCCGCTTCGACTCTCACGTCCGACGATGATGACGATGATGAGGATGACTTTGATGACGATGATGACGACGACGCCGGGTCAGCTTGCTTGTCGAGAGGCCGGGCGAGGGAGCCATTCCTCCTCGCTGGCTTCGGAGGAGAGCTCGAAGGTGGCACAAGCGCTTCCTCTGCATTCCAGAACGACGGATCTGGTGGTAGCCACAATCACCACATCAATCGGCAACGATTATTACAATATCACCATCTGAAACGCTAACCAAGCTAACATTGGTTGTGCGATGATAATAATGACTGGGTCATTTGCCAATTATGGATACCGAAATGCCTTGTGGGCTCCGAGATTCCTCCTGTTGATTGACATATATGGTAATTGCCTTTTGTGTACAGAGTTAACTGTTAAGCTTCAGTCCATGTGAGAAAAGATGAGGTGTGGCTCAGAGAACACTAAGCCAGTTCTTTCTAAGATCCTGAGTTCGTCCATGATTAAACCGCGCTCGCAAGTGTAGCGAGGTGACGGGCTCAAATCAGTCACCAATGAATTTACAAAAATGCCACCCACATTCAATTTGGCTTTTCATGTCAGCTCTGAGAATTAAACACGTACCGAAGTGAAAAATGTTTTGCCGTAGCGGAATGAGTGGGACAATGCATGCCAAAGTGTGCCAGTAAATGAGGTCACTTGAAGTGATCTAAGATGTACAGTGAGGGAAAAAAGGATTTGATCCCCTCCTGATTTTTGTACGTTTGCCCACTGACAAAGAAATGATCAGTCTAAAATTTTAATGGTAGGTTTATTTTAACAGTGAGAGACAGAATAACAACAAAAATCCAGAAAAACGCATGTCAAAAATGTTGTAAATTGATTTTCATTTTAATGAGGGAAATAAGTATTTGACCCCTCTGCAAAACATGACTTAGTACTTGGTGGCAAAACTCTTGTTTGCAATCACACGAGGTCAGACGTTTCTTGTAGTTGGCCACCAGGTTTGCACACATCTCAGGAGGTTTCGAGGCTGACATTTGGCAACTCGAACCTTAAGCTCCCTCCACAGATTTTCTATGGGATTAAGGTCTGAAGACTGGCTAGGCCACTCCAGGACCTTAATGTGCTTCTTCTTGAGCCACTCCTTTGTTTCCTTGGCCGTGTGTTTTGGGTCATTGTCATGCTGGAATACCCATCCACGACCCATTTGCAATGCCCTGGGTGAGAGAAGGTGGTTCTCAACCAAGATTTGACGGTACATGGCCCCGTCCATCGTCCCTTTGATGCGGTGAAGTTGTCCTGTCCCCTTAGCAGAAAAACACCCCCAAAGAATAATGTTTCCACCTCCATGTTTGACGGTGGGGATGGTGTTCTTGGGGTCATAGGCAGCATTCCTCCTCCAAACACGGCGAGTTAAGTTGATGCCAAAGAGCTCCATTTCACCCAGTTGTCCACTGAATCATTCAGATGTTCATTGGCAAACTTCAGACGGGCATGTATATGTGCTTTCTTGAGCAGGGGGACCTTGCGGGCACTGCAGGATTTCAGTCCTTCACGGCGTAGTGTGTTACCAATTGTTTTCTTGGTGACTATGGTCCCAGCTGCCTTGAGATCATTGACAAGATCCTCCCGTGTAGTTCTGGGCTGATTCCTCACCGTTCTAATGATCATTGCAACTCCACGAGGTGAGATCTTGCATGGAGCCCCAGGCCGAGGGAGATTGACAGTTCTTTTGTGTTTCTTCCATTTGCGAATAATCGCACCAACTGTTGTCACCTTCTCACCAAACTGCTTGGCAATGGTCTTGTAGCCCATTCCAGCCTTGTGTAGGTCTACAATCTTGTCCCTGACATCCTTGGAGTGCTCTTTGGTCTTGGCCATGGTGGAGAGTTTGGAATCTGATTGATTGATTCTGTGGACAGGTGTCTTTTATACAGGTAACAAGCTGAGATTAGGAGCACTCCCTTTAAGAGTGTGCTCCTAATCTTTGCTCGTTACCTGTATAAAAGACACATGGGAGCCAGAAATCTTTCTGATTGAGAGGGGGTCAAATACTTATTTCCCTCATTAAAATGCAAATCAATTTATAACATTTTTGACATGCGTTTTTCTGGATTTTTTGTTGTTGTTATTCTGTCTCTCACTGTTCAAATAAACCTACCATTAAAATTATAGACAGATCATTTCTTTGTCAGTGGGCAAACGTACAAAATCAGCAGGGGATCAAATACTTTTATCCCTCACTGTAGTATTATAAAATCTGCTTCCGTGGGCTGCTGTCGAACAAGGGGTCAATGCACTGGTTCTGCAAGAGTTTTATTCTCAGCAAGAGACCCAAATTTGTGGAGACCCACAGCCTCAAGTGAAGATCCATAGACTTTCGATTTACACCCATCAGTTTTCTTGATGATCGACTGCCGATAATAAAACCTCTGCCCATTCCTCTCGTCTCACGACACGACGTTCATAGACCAATTGTAAAAACTATTTCGGGGGGGGGGGGAAATAAAAAAGCGACAAAATATATTCCACAAACCAAAGGTGCTCTCTGGCAATTGTAACAATGCGACAGTGCCGTGCCGTTGGCGTGACCCGCCACGGCCACAATGCTTGGCGCCGCTTGCGTTCATCACGGTTGGGTGTCGTCCGTTGCCGCCGCGTGGCCGTTCAAATCGATTACCGCTGTCGCCGGTTGCCGGCGGCTCCAACTCGATGAGGTCACGGGAGTAGGCGGCCGTGGGCTGCGCCAGCAGCGGCGCCGGGTGAGGCCGCAGCTGGGGCGAGGGCAGCGTGCGGGGCAGCGGCCCACTGAGCAGCTCGTCCAGCGAGGGGCCCGGAAGGGCCAGCTCCGCGCAGCCTGTCGACGCGCATCGCCCAATTACACAACATTTTCACCGATGATGCACGTCGCGCTCTAATTTACGCCGTTCACTCGCTCGACGCTCATGTTTGATGCCTCTTTACGCGCCACCGCTCGATCACGTCACCGCACGCGAACGGACCAAACGCGCAACCACGCTCACCCGCAGGCCGCTGCGATTGGCCGCGTCGCTGCTCACGTTGCGGGGAGGCGGCATTCAGGACCCCGGCGCGGGCGTCCATGAAGAGCCCGGCGGAGCTGGCGGGCGGCGGAGGTGTGGAAGGCTCGGAGTGCATTTCCCCCTCCTCGCTGGGAAGGGTGGCTGGCGAGGCGCAGGACAGTCGCACTGCAAACACGCGGCCAGAGATGCCCCTTCCTTAGAGCCTTGCTGCTGCAGCACGCACCGCTTCACAAGAACCTACCGCTGTATGCATCACAAATGTCAAAATGTGGGCTGTAAGACACCGCCCCCGCCGCCTTGCCGAGTCTGTCCACATGGCACTCACCACTCATATCGTGCTTTAGCACCAGCATCTTGTTGTGTTTCTTTACCCAGACCACCTGCTGGGATGGTGGGGGGGTGGGGGCACAAGTATAAAGACATATCCCCCCGTATAGCCTGTAACAGATTGTTGGGGCAAGTGCTGTTCGCGAGCAGCACCTATGAATGCCGGCAGGACACACGAGAGGGTGGGTGACCAGCACCATGCCCGGCCGCATTTGTCTCCCCACGTGGCGATGTTTACACACTGTATCAGATGACCATTTGAGGCTGAGTCGACCTTGAAGAGCCAAAGGACCAGTTCAAATAATCGTTACTTGTGTTGGCCGTGAGCCAGGTTCACTTAGCAGCTATAATACCACTCACGCGGCACTGTCAAGCCAAAGTTGTCACGTATACAAAGCGGGCATAAATGAATAAAAATGGATCTTCACTTACAATACGTGCATCCAATTGTGCCTGTCAGAATTGATTACTTACAAATTCTGGCGATTAAACGCAGGCGAATAAAATTACCGGGAATGAACAAATGAGACAAGCGAGACAAACCATTACAAACGACACAAACAATACTGACGAAACGGGGCAAATGACACAGACAATACCAATGAGACAGACAGCATAACTGAGACGAACATGAACTGGACAGATTATAATATAAACGACACGGATAACATGAAGAACAAACAATAACGAGACGGAACAAATTAAAAACGACACTCAAATGGAACCGTGCGCCTGAATTGTAAGAATTAACTGTGCCTTGACAAGTTTTTTTTTGCTACCTGGGGTTGCAAAACAAATAATGTGCAGCACAGCATAAGTAAAAACAATAACAAAGTGCTAAACTCAACTAGTTATTAGCACATCACCAACTATCAGTTATCACTGAACATGAACACCCAAAATATTATTTCTTCCCTAACATGCCCGACCATTATTTTAGTTGTCCGGCCAGGTGACTCGGAGAAACTGAGCGAGCAGCTTGGAAATCGGAAGCTTGCGGGGTTGACTCTGTCCATAATCCCTCCAGGGCCGATAAATTACATACCACTTGGTGGGGTGAGGGAGGGGGAAGTCAACGGTCATTGTCCTACAGATTAGACTCCACAGGAATGTATTTCCACCAGTGGCTCAGAGCTGTAAACCGGAGACGATCACTGCCTCACTGCTCTTTGAGCAGGAAATCACTGCGTGTTTTCATTTGACTCGGTATCTATGAACGGATTACACGAGAACGTGACCCACAAGGAGTGGGAGGGGGGGGGGGGGGGGAGGAAAGGAAGCCGGCGGTAGCACCCGGTGCTACACTCGTGGGTTCGAGCGCGATCGACTGGCAGCACCTGTGGGAAGGCGAGCAGGGCCTCCTCCAGTGAGCCGAAGCCGAGGGTGGAGGCCACAGAGGCCGCGCTGTTGCCCGTGAACTGCGCGTAGGCGCTCGGGAAGTCAGCGAGCGAGATCTGGTGGTAGTGGTAGGTGAGCAGTAGGGCGCGCACGCACGCCGCGAACTGCAGGAGCGGCGTGAGGCGCACGCCCACAGCGGTGCCGCTCTCCGTCTCCAGCTGCCCGCACGGGAATGACAAGTGGTTACGACACGTGGTTACCAAACGTGGGCGTGGATGGAGTCGGTGGCCCCGCAACGGACGTCGCAACGGCAGCCTTTGCGCTCATTACGACAGTCATAACAGTGTCCGTAAATTCGCAAAAAGCCTCACCGATATATTCAAGCCTCTTTGTGCCCGTCAAAGATCGTTCACTTTGTACACACACACACGTGTGTCCCGCTTGCCTGCCCGCCTGGCTGACTTGCACATTCACCCACCAAACCACACTCACCCATCACGACCGATCGCCAACGTCTGGCTAGCCCTTACATTTGCCCGCTTACCGTTTCCACCCGGCCACTTATTTGCCAAGTTTCTTGCACTCTTTTCAGCCTGCCCGCTCATTCGTCCACCCAACCCATCACCAGCCCACGCACGCCCGCTTACCCTACCCGCCCGTCTGCCCTGCGCATCCCGTCACCGCAACCCACTCGCCCGTCTTGCCTACCCATCCTAGACCCCGTCACTCACACGCACACACACGCATGCCCAACCTAGCTCGCACGTCCGTCTGTCCGTCCATCCGCCCACCCACCTCAAACATGCTGTGCATGGTGCGCAGCATGTCGGCCAGGCACAGGAAACCAAAGTCGTGCGGCGCCAGCGGCGCCCCAAATACCGCATGGTAGAGCTGCTCGAGCAGCGCCAGCTTCACCAAGGCCCCCGGGCGCTGGGACATGAGCAGCAGCAGAAGCTGGGTGGTGGCCACCTTCTGCGATTTGTGGCAGAGCAGCTGAATGCGCCGACCCACGGGGGTGTCCACGACCTGGGCAGAGGGGGGATGAGGCGCCCGGGGGTTAGCTGGCGACTCCAGGGTTTTGCAGGGCAGGGCACGGGGAGCACCCCCTGCACACGCTGCTCCCAAGCGCTTATACAGGCGGTGGTCTCCGGTTTACGATAACGAGATGTCAACTTCCTGGGCTGGTATACGGGAGGAAGTCGTGGGTTCGATCCCGACCCTGATGCCTGTATATCTGGAGTCTGCATGTTCTCCCCGTGGTCGCGTGGATTTAGAAACATGCGTTTAAGAGTATTTGACCGCTATACATTTCCACATGATAAGCCACTTTTGTCGGGCTATCATTTGTGCCCAGGTCGCTTCTGGATAAGGGCTATAAAAAGCTCAGTGAACCTTACCTGATCAAATTAAATAAAACACGGCGAACAGGGAAATATTGCGTCATTGTCCGCGCGAACCTCGCGAGCACACATTGGTTGGTGTGTTGGCATGTATCGGGTGTGCATTCAACATGCGAGCTTCTTGAGGTATGTTGGCATGTACTGCTGTGTGCGTGTACAAGTTGGCGTGTCGACACGTCTTCACGTGTGTTTGTCGGCGCATGAGCCTGCGTTGCTCTGCCAGTACTTACTAGTGGATCCTGGGGTCGTGTTGGTGTGGGCTTGCACGCGGTGTGGCACACTGGCACATATTTGTGTAAGTTTGTGCACGGTGGCTCATTCTGGCACGTATTGGTGGACGTTGGCATGTGCTGGCGCACATCGGACTGTGTTGGCAACAATTGCGTGCAAGTGTGTGTACGTGCGTGTGTGTGTGGTAGTGTCGCGGTTAGCAAGCTAAGCTACGAACCTGGCGAACCGGGATTGATTCCCGCTCATGGCCAACACTAGTGACGATTATATGAACCGGTCCTGGGCCTCCCCTAGATCGACTAAGCCTCAAATGAGTATCTAGTGCGTTGTGTAAACATGGTGCTGGGCACCCTCCCCCTCGTGTGCCGTGCCGGCCTTCACAGGTGCTACTCGCTAACAGCACCTGCTCCTACAGTCTGTTCAGGCCGTGTTTGCGTACAGGGAGTGGTAATGTAGTGGTTCGCGCACGGCGACTACAAGTTCGATTCCTGCTCACGGCTGATCCTGGGTATTCCCTTAGGTCGACTCAAGGGGAGGGAAAACTGTCCCCTCAGTCGATGTTGTCACCTTGACGACGTGCGGGATCTTGGACAGGAGCTCCGTGACGGAGCTCACGTCGTAGTCCTGCAGGTACAGCGGATGGCCCACGGCGCGCGCGTACTCGGCCGGCAGCTCTGACGGCGCCAGCCCCTCCGCCACGAAGGACGAGGAGGCGGCACCGGCAGCGCCGGCGGGCTCCCCAGTGTCACCGTGGGGCTGATCCTTGTGCACCCGCAGCAGCTGAGAGATCTGGCAGGCCAGCGCCTTCAGCTGCTCCGTTTCGGTGAGCACCAGCAGCTTGTCCTCTCCGCGCTCCAGCATCTGGCGGGGGGTCGGCGCGGGGAGGCGCAAGACGCGCACGTGTGCGAAAAGGAGCAAACGAGCACAAGACACAAGATCCCACACAAAGCCTGATGGGGGGGGGGGGGTGCTGCTGACAGGCACATATGAAGGCCAGCAGGGCGCACGAGGGTGTGAGAGTGATGTGGCTCGTCTTTGTCTCCCCAGTCCCGATGTTTACACACCAGTAGAACTGGAGATCATAACAACCAATGTTTGCCATGGCCGGGAATCGAATTAAGGCCACGTCCTTTATCGTAGTGAAGTACATTAAACCGCTACACAACTGCTCCTCAATAACAACAGTGAACGCCATGCACCACTAAGTGGCAGTGATGTCACCACGGCGCTTGTGCGGGGCTTGGTGCACCTACCTACATAAACACACACGATCGCCAGACGATTGACATAACGATTCAACGGGCCGGTGGTTTGCACCGAGCAGGTTTGAGTCCCGGTCAAGGCGCGTGGCAACGTGTGCGCGCGCGTGCGCGTGTGGGTTTTTTTGCGCGTGGCCGAGAGGTGCGGCACCTACGGTGACCACCTCGGGGATGGCCTCGAAGAGGTCGGTGAGCTTCGTGAAGCCGTAGTGCGCCAGCTTGCACTGCCGCCCGTAGTGGTGGTGGTAGGCGGGGATGAAGCGCGAGAACGCCATGCGCCCGCGCGGCATTTGGCGCAGCAGTTTGACGACCTCGCGCGCGAACACGCGCGTGCGCGACCGCTCCTCTTCCGTGCGCACTGCACACGCGGCAGGCGGGCGGGACGTGCGTGGATGCGCGTCAAGGTGGTGCGGAAGAGCGCAAGCGCGTGTGCTGTAACACGCAACCGTGCCGGCACTTGCACACGTACGGACGCAGGGCAACAAGGCAGAGATTCCCACCCCACCTCGTGTAGCGTTAACAGACTGTTGGAAGGAAAGTGCTGTTAGCGAGCGGCACTGATGAAAAGCCGGCACGGTACAAGTATTGTGACCTAAAGTGCAGCGAGTGAGTGGGTGGGCGGGCGAGCGAGTGGCTGGGTGGTGGGGGGAATCAGGGCGGCCCTTGCCTTTAATGGGGATGGAGAGCACGGGGCCGCCCTCCTGTGGAGTCATGGCGACCACGGCATCAGGCACCTCGGCCAGCAGGTCGGAGAGCTCGCACATGCCGTACTCGCGCACGTCCCACTCGCGCGAGAAGCACCTGGGCCGGCACGATGGGACGCACACACACACACACAGGCCCATAGGCAGGCTTTCACAACCAACATTACGATTCATAATCGGTTTATTTTTTGTGGGTATAATGTCAACTGGAGCTATAACCCTCCACCACCCGACAAGAGCCAATCCAATCAAAGTCACGTGGGAAAAAAAAAAAACGTACATTACACCTACGCGATACAACCCCAAAATAAATGTATTTTTAAAAAAAATCGTATTTCATTGAAACCAGGACTCCGAATCGTAGCGATCTATCACACACGGCGAGTAGACGTGGATCTTACCAGTGGTAGGCTTGTGCAAAGTCCTGCAAGCACACTTGCTTGCTGGCCTGGGACTTGAGCAGCTTCAAGAGGTCCTGAGTGAAACGCTTCACCTGGACGCGGTGCGTCAGCGTCAGCAGCCGCCTCCCGCCCAGCCCCAGTATCTGTCCGTCGCACCGAACCGAACGGCATGAATGGCACGGGACAGAAGCGATTTTTTTTTTTAAACCCCAAACGCAAAATACGAACGTTTCTACACCAGGGTAAAAGACGCCATCAGGGTAGAGGTCACGTGGCCCGGCAGAGGCGCGTTCGTCGCTTGTTGCAGAAAATCAATCGGCCGTATGCTTCCCAGTGAACGTTACAGATTCCGTGACGCCAATCGCAAGAGTAGGCCCCATTGTGCGCCGGCGTCGTGGTAAAAAAATCTGAAAAATTACCCGCAAATTACCGAATTGGGATTATGCAGAGCAATCATCGCCCACTGCCGCGCAAAAAAATATGGCGGGACCCTTCTGAAAATAACCAAAAGTGATTACCGCGAAACCTCCTCACACTCGCAAAACTGCGATGCACATGGGGAGAAAACAACGGGGTGCGGCTAACGACGCAACGGCAGCGGCCGCGATGAAGGCGGCGACGCGCAAGCGCACCTGCAGAACGTGCGGGACGGCGTCGAGCAGGTCGCCGAGCCGGGCGTAGCCGTACTCGGCCACGCGGCACTGCTTGCCGAAGTGGTGGTGGTAGGCGGGGATGAAGCGCGTGAAGGCCAGCAGGCAGCGCGGCTGGGTGCGCAGCAGCTCGACCACCTCGCGCGCAAACGCGATCAGCTGCGGGTTCCCCACGGGGCTCTTGCAACGTGACGCGAGCCACGTGTCTGTGCCGTGCGCAGACGGGCAATGACACACAAACGTAGAAAAGCACTAGATTTCGAGGGATAATTTTGTATCTGTTATTTTTAAAAAAATTATCGCTTCCCCCAGGTTCTAATGTAAAAAAAAAAAAATCACAGGTGTGCGTGCGCACATGTGTGTGGGAAGCAGTGGGGTAGCGGTTAGTGTGCCGCGCTACGAACCAGCCAGGAAACAATCGCGACGTTTCGATCACAACGCGAGCGATCTTCATCAGGTGTCAAGAACAAATCACGGAGGTAAATACAACAAAAAGAGGAGAGACGAGAATTCAACAAACCTGAAAAAACATTATGTGAAGCACATCCAGTCAGGCCAACAACACAGTTAGACACTTCCTGGCGGACCACGAATTTCAGAAGAGTGTTAAATTTCGTGTTCGACCTTTGGATTGCACATACCAGCATAGATAGAATGAAAAATACGAGGTACACGGTCAGTAGAAATACCGACGGTCAGAACCAGCCAGACCCGAGTTGGATTCTCGCTCACGGCCACCACCGGTGACGGTCATATGAACCGGTCCTGGGACTCCCCTAGGTCGACTCAGCCTTTAAAAAGTACCTAGTGGGGTGTGTGTAAACATCGCCGCTGGGGGCTAGATGCTAACCACCAGGCCTTCGTAAGGTGCTCGCAAACAGCACTTGGCCATGCGTGCGTGCGTGCCACTCGCCACGCGTACCGCTGCTCGGCGGGGGCGGCTTGTTCTGCACCCACTTGACCACCTTGACGCCGTTCTGCGCCATCACCACGTGGACGCCCTGCACGCAGGCCGCCAGGTGCTCCAGCGGGACTCCACGGCCACAGCCGGCGGCCAAAACTGTCGCGGCCACCGCCGCCGCCTCCGTAACGGCGTCGTCGCTTTCCTCCTCCGCCGCCGTGTCGCCCTCCGCGGTCGGAACCATCGCCGCTTGCGCGTCGCGAGGCAGCGGTCCCATCTCGGCCTCGTAGCAGTCAGGGAAGCTGGGGGGGGGGGGGGGGGGGGGGGGGGCGACGAGTGGCGTGAGCGCCAGCACAGGCTTTTAAGGAACAACGGGGCAGATAATCTTAGCATAGCTTTTAAAGGTTGTTTGCTCAAGTGCTGTTTTTAGATGGCACGAGGGGTGGTGCAGCTAAGCACCATGCCTGGCCACCTTCGTTTCCACAGTGAGAATGTATACACACAGCACCAGGTGCTCATTTAAAGGCCGAGTGAAACTAGCGGGGGTAGGGCGGGGGGGGGGGCAGCACAGGTTCAGATAATTGTCACTGGCGTCGCCCGTGAACGGGAATTGAACTCGGTGTGTAAAGTTCACCGCTCCCCACACACCACATTTACACCACGTGCGGACTTGAGCACAAAGATGAGCGCCTTCAGCAATCAGTGTCGGGGGGAGAGGTGGGGGGCTGCCGGGAGGCGCGTAATGGCGCGTCACCTGAGCAGCGGCACGGTGCCGTCGTGCGAGTGGAGTAGCGCGTGCACTTGCGCCGCGAAGGTCTTCAGCGACATCACCACGAAGGGCAGCTGGGAGTACTCCACCTCCAGGTCATGCTCCCTAAAACAAAAAGATCCCCCCCCCCCCCCACGTATAGCCTTGACAGACTGTCGCAAGCAAGAAGGGCCAATGTTCGTAACGTTGCCTATTACAGACTTTTCCTTTGAAGGCCACAGCGTTGTTGATGAACGTGTTATGTTTTTTGGTTTTATTTGTGCTCCTGCACCATTGCCAACGCAGCAGCTTCACCGACGAATCTGGCGGGGAAAGTGCTGTGAGCTCACGTCCCCCATTCATCAAGCTTGGATCTTTGGTGGGATAGATGTGGTCACCGTCACTTTTGAGGACTTTCGGGCCAGAATTTATCCATGGCCAAAACTGAAAAAAGAAAAACTTCTTGGCCAAGTATTTTCGGCACTAATTGAACACTAGTCTGAGCCTAAGGAACATCGGTGAACAGCGTCGGAGTATCCATAATCCGCCGTGATCACCACATGGCCACGTGGATCAACCCAGTGACACGCATCGAGTCCTACAGAGCTTCTGCGGCCCCCGTTTGCCGGTGCAGAATCATACGCGTCGCGTCTCATCTTACCGATCCTTCTCCGAACTGTGACCAATGACCTGCGAACTCACAAGAGCCCCTCGTCACCTGCGTCTGGCCACAGCCTCAGTAAGGTGCGTCTCCCCCTTGCATAACCGACTACACCATCATCACCATCATCATCATCGACCGTATTTCCATTCGGACAATAAACAACAACACGCTCGTGCGCCGGCGCTCTCACTCGATGTCCACGGTGGCGGCGGAGTGCGGCGAGTGGACGGGGCAGTAGGCGTCGTGATGTGCCAGCTCCTCAATCACCACCGGGCTGCTGCCGCACGACGAGAAGTTCCTCTCCCGCTCCCTCTCCCTACTGGTGGCCGCCGCCGCCGCGGCCGCCGCCGCGGCGGCCATGGTGGCGGCGGGGGGCGGCCCGACGTAGGGACCGTTCCGCAGCGGCAGCAGCGACACGAGGCGGCACGCGGGGCCGTGGTCGTGCACGCACAGCGAGTCCGTCAGCTTGTGCAGGTCCGACACCACCAGCTTGCGCCCGTACCTGGAGTGGGGCGGTGGTGGGGGGCGAGCAACCACGCCAATATTCAGTGACGGATTTATTAGGAGGCACACGAGTATCGCCAAACGTTTGCACCGTTGTGACGTCGCCGCCCGGAGGCGTTCAGTCACAGGGTTGGTGCGCTGCTAGCTGCGAGGGTACGGACGGGAATATCTTTATCCCAGAACACGAGTGCGTGGGTGGGGGGGGGGGGGGGGGGGTGATTGCACATTCGAAATATAGAGGGGAACAATTAGAACAGTTTTCAATAAACCTTTGTCACTGATGTTTAACCACAAGTACGACAAAGGCAAAGATAGCTGTGTAAACGCAAACTGAAATTTACGTGCAGAAGACGGTGACGGGGTGAGTGTGAAGCGCCTACCGTTTCTCGTAAACCTCCGCGAAGAGGTGGAGGGGCAGGGTGGCCCCTGGCGCTTCGTGCAGAATCCCCATGGCTTCCAGCCTGCTCCCGGGTCCCGCAACACAACCAAACGTCGCAACAGTTAACGGCCTCGTGTCTACACGTTGTCAAAGCGCACGCGGCCCGTAATCCAGCACTGCGGGGGCGAGGGTTGGAGGATCGCGCGCACCCTGGCTTGCCAGAAGGCAGTCCAGAACAAGTGCGGACTCCGCCAGTTCCGTCTGTACGAGACAGAAAGTTCCCCCCCCCCCCCCCGCCCCCGCACGCATGGGTTTTCTTCAGGTGAACCAATTTCCTCCGATACATTTAAAGCCACATTAATCGGTCGGAAAAATGTTGTTGCGCATGGCTGCTTTCCTTCTCGTCTGCGATTACTTGATGCTCGAGAGTCCGTTCTCTTGGTGAGCGAGCAAACACTGTGTGGCGGCGCATTACAAGTTGATACTATTCGTATTATTATTATCATCACGCACAGTGTCAGTGGTGGGCTCGCCCAGTGACCCGTCCATCAAAGCACCAGGCGAGAAGAGCAACGACAAAGCTGTTTAAAAAATTCCTTCCATGTTGGAAAGTTGTGCAACTGTAGAAAGCGATGTCAAATTTGACTCATTTCTTGGACTTTGATTGCACCAGGGAAATGTTTATAATCAAAACGCAGCCAAGATTATATTGTGTTTCTGACTTTCCCCCAGATGTCTCCCAAATGTGCCACAGGCATCATGTCATGATCTCTCACAGAGCAGTGCGACCATTTGTGTTTTAAGAACGGCCCATGGAAGCAGATATCACAGAGTTACCTCTAATATCCCTCCAAGTGATCTGGGTCCACACAAGAGGGAGCAACACTTTCCCACCCACTGTACACGCGAGTAACGTTCATGACAGTCAGACCAATATTTTCCATCTCAGCAGTGGAATTTAGTCAAATAAAGTGTAGAACCCAATTTAATGCGATTATTTTTTTTTGGCATGTAGTCACTGGTGAGTCCGGCTCAGACCACGAACTCACTATACTTGAGGACACTTCCATTCAATCCCAGGTGGCCTGCTTGGGTTCTCACCCAGGTTCTCGGCGGCGTGCCAGCTCAGCCGATCTGGCCTCGGAGAAACTAGGGCCGACCTCTCGGGCAAAGTTCTAACGACCGCGGAGAGACGCGGGGCGGCGCCCAACCTGAGAGTCTGCAGAGGCGACGTGCGCTGGGGTTCGTGGACGACGCCGTCGCTCGCCAGCGACACGTGGACGCGGCGGCCCGTGACCTGGCAGTGCTGCAGGGCGCTGGCGCTCAGCGCCGCCTCCTGGGCGCTGCCCATGCGCACCAGCGCCCGCAACTGCTGCTGCTCCGCGTGGCCGCGCAGCTCAATGCCCTTGACCTGAAGGGGCGAGACCGGCGCGACGTGTATTTAAGAGGCCACACGTCGTCACCGCGTGTTGTGACCGTTTGGCTGGATGGCGAGAATGGCAAGCGGTTACGCGCGTGGCGACAAGGGAGTTTGAGGATTCGTCCATCCATATGTAATGTTCATCAATTTGTCTGTCCATTTCTATATGCCCATCTATTAATCAACCAATCAATCCCTCTATCTATCTGCACATCCACCCACTTTGAGTCATAAAAAATGCGATATTTGTTTTTTTTACGCTCCCAATGCACGCACATTTTTTTTCTTCAATTTACAATATTCACAAACTTTCGGCGGGCAATATCGTGTGGCTATATTTATACAGAGTGAACAAAAGTGTACAAACGAGACAGAACAAAAAAAAGCGCTACAAACACGAAGAAAAAACGATAACAATCATGATCCGATCTGTTTACACAATTCATCAAATCGCTGGTTGGAATGGGTGGCGGTGAAGGTGGCGGGCGGTGGCTTTGATGATGGTGGTGGTGGTGGTGAAGGCAGGACTAATGCCTAGATGCCACCCCATCCCGTGACCCCACATGGCCCTGCATGGCCCCACTATGGCGGTCGTGCCCTGCCGGCGCTCCGAGCAACGGAGGGCCCCCCCCCAGCCGGTTCTTGAATCATCGGGCACAAAAATGGCTCATACCGTACCACACAGAATGAGAAATAAATATAGGCATGCGTGTGCAAAGATAGTATACATACGCTCAGCCCTCTGCCCATGATAGACACTGCTAAAATTTGCATACGGGATATATAGCATGCGCCACCCAAGATGGTACCGACCGACCATCTCGGTTAGTGGGCCCTGACCTGCCCAAACTTGGCGAAGGCGTCGCTGAGCTCCTGCATGATGTCGCTCCACTGCGCCTTGCCGTCCAGGTTGCTGATGAGTACGTCGGTGGGGCTCACGCCGCTCCCCGGATAGCCGTAGCCGAACGGCGAGGGGAGGTAGCCGTGCGGTGGGGGGGGGCCAGCCACCGCGGTGGTGCGGGACACCAGGCCGCCGGGGAACACCAACTGGTTCAACGGAGTCGCCAGCCGGGAGCTGCGGGGGTGGGAGGGGGGACACACAGAAGGTGTGCAATACCGCGATGAGAAAACGGCTCCGACTAGCGATAAGGCGAGTAAACGATGAAACTCAAAGATTCTCACGCGTCAGCACGCGAATGTGAGATTCCACTATAAAAGGGTTTCTTGGATAGGATCGCGTTAATATAAATGCACCACCACCACCCAACACAGCCAACTAGTAAGGGTTGTTATTTAAACAGAACATGCCAATCCGTCACTAGTAGACTTCACAAATCTGGCTGTCGCCTGGTGAAGCTAGCTGTAATTACTGGCGAAACGTCGTACTCAGATTGAAAATGTTGTGGCTTGGCTCTCAAACACACCGGTGTGCTGTACTAGTGACGAATTGGCACATTCTGTTTACGTGACAACCCTTACTAGTTGGCTGTGTTGGGTGGGGGTGGGTTTTAACGACACATTTATATATTTACGCAATCTAACCAAAAAAAGAACTCTATTATGGATGATATTGGTCGCGAAAGCCTACGTGTTAAACAGTGTTAAAATTAGATTCCATTGTTTTTGTTGAGAAGAATGGGGTAAGAGAAAAAAATCGGCAGTGATCTGCAAGGCAGGGGGGAACTGCCAGAAAGGGGAGCTGGAGGGACAGGGCAGTTGAAGGATTGTGAGCGGGTGTGGGGGAAGAGGGGCTGAATAGGACCCCTGCAGGACAGGTGGATAGAGATGACAGGAAGCAATGGGGAGGAGGACAAGGGCAGAATGGGAGACAGGGAGGTGTGAACACTGGATGGGACACTATCGCAGTTGGAAGATGCAGCGATGGAGAGAGAAAAGTTTAAAGACTGCTGCGAGAAGACATCGGTATAAGGAAACCGTCGTGCGTCAACAGCTCAAACGGCCAACGGGCTAGAAGAAGAGGACCGACAATGGCTGACGAGCTTGGGGTGGAGAGGGAGAAAAATCGCTCACCTAGGCACCCAGGTGATGGGGCAGGGGGCGACGATGGGAAACGGGGGCTGATGGGAGGCGTGGAGAAGCGGCATGGCGCCCGGCGGTGGCGGGGTTGGCGCCAGCGGCCGGAAGAACGCCGCGGGGTTCCCCGAAGGGGGGCCGTCCACGAGCACCGGCTTCCCGGTGGCCTCGGAGCCCTCTTCATCAGGCACCAGCGGCGGGCACGAGTCGGCCCTAAGGGACGAGAGAGCGTGCAGGCTTCAAGTGTGCGGGCACCGTCGTCTGTAAGCAACCGAACACAGCTGGGAGATTTACGAGATGGGCTTTGGCTGGAACACAGCTACGTTACACTTAAACACCGCTCAGTGCAAACCAGCTTTCAACGTGCCATTGGATTCGCTCCTAGAAGAGTACGAATAGCAATGTCTTTCAGATGTTATGTTAACAAGATTTAACAAGTAAAGGTGCAGACCTGGAATTGCTTGCTCATGCCACTGCTGGTGGAAGGGCATCCACAGGAGGGGGCCCCGAGAGAGCCCCTCTCGAGAAGAACTCAATCACATTTTATAATATATATTGGGCATGTTTTATTGTGTTATTCAGGTGGAGCGGTGGCGGAGTTGTCAGCTCACTGTGCTGTGAGCCTGGTGACCTGAGTTTTAATCCAGGCTACAGCTCACCTGGTCCCACCCCCCCACCAACTTGCACTGCCCAGAATGGTGAAGTATGATTAAACCAACCCAATGACTACGGCAAGAAGAGGTCTTCATCTCTTAGTGAATTAAGGGCTATAAATTATCATCATTGTTAGACAATATTCCTGTAATTTGTTTCCTTTTAACATTGTAAACTGTTGCACCCACTTTTTAGCTGTCCGATGCATTTATTTTGACCCAATATTGCCTTGAAAAATAAACTTCTGGTATCAAAGCAAAAAGTAATTAATAAATCTGGTATGGTGTGTAAACATCAGCGCTGGGAAGACAAAGGCGGTCCCAGTGCGGTACAAACCACACATTCGTGTTCCATGCCAGCCTTAATAGGGCTTCTCTATAATAACAGCACTCGCCCCAATATTCTCTCTAGCGATACGTATAATCCATGTGTATGTTGAACTTATTTCTCACCGTACGTAGTCAACTGTGATCATCGGAGGTGCAGGGGAACAATAAAAAACTAAACACAAAAAAGCAGTTCTAAAGAAATGAATTTTCAATCTAGATTTTAAAGTGTATAGCTCCAGTGGCTTCATAATATCCGAAGGAAGAGTGTTCCAGATGGCCGCAGAGGCGAATTTGAAAGCAAGCGATGCGGTGACCGTCTTTGTTCGATTATCCGAACCGGTCCTGGGCCTCCCCGCGGTCGACTCAGCCTCAAATGAGTACCTAGTACAGTGTGTAAACATCGCCACTGGTGCTGGCCACCCACCCCCTCGTGTACTGTTCCGGCCTTCATAGGTGCTCACTAATAGCATTTGCCTCTTACAGTCTGTTAAGGCTATACAGGGGGTCTTTGTCTTTGTGTGCGCGCGTGTCGTCGTAGCGACACTGGTCACTCCCAGCCGCACCTCGTGATCTCCGTGTCACGCCCGCCTCTCTGGGGGGCGTTAGCCCGCGCAAGGAGGGGAGTAGCAGGAGGCCCAGGAGAGCTGCCCCTGCCAGCGCCCCCCGTCCCTCCACGCCGGTGCCTCTTAGCACTTGGCTGTTGCGCCTGCTGCTGCCGTCCACCCGAGGTGGTTTCCTGTACCACGGACAAGCGCAACGCGAACAACACGGACGTCACAACCCCTGAGCATTGTCGCGGGCAAAACTAACGAGGCCCATGTGTCACTGGAGTCAATAGCAATTCGCACAAAACGATAACAAAGGAAGATGCACTGATAAATCAATACAAATTGGTTCTTATGAAGTGCGACATACCAGAACTATGCGTACCAAAATTGATTATATCAGCGTTCAAGAAAATTGTACAGACGTTTTATGTTCGTATTAGGTTAAGGCACCTAACAATCGAATTGCAACCCCATAATGTGAAAATGTATTGAATCGCTGGTTGGAAGGCGGGGGAGGGAGGTGGTGGGAAGGGAGGGGGGGGGGGTTCTAGATGTATTATTCGATGATTATTATACACACACACGAGTTACTGTGACAACGAACGCTGAGATAATGGCGCCGCGGGACCAAAAACCTCTCGCGAGAAACAGGCGAGGCTCACAGACCTTGGGGTTTCCCGCTGCCCGTTCCTCTCCGTGGAGCGAGCACTTGGCTCCTCCATCACCAGCCTCCGGGTTCTTCCCCGCCCCGCCGTGCCTGTGCGCCGCTCGTCCGCTAGCCCGAGCCCCGCCGCTCAACAGCTGCTTCTCCTGACCGGACGGAGCGGCCGCCACGGCCCCCGTGCCGGTTCCTGCCCTGTCCCTCGGCTGCTGCTCTTTGGCTCGACTTGTCGATAGTGGTGGCGAAGAAGACGACAACGGCAGTGGCAACGCTGACGAATGCCCGACGGCGGCGCCGTTCCTTCCAGCATCCTCCACATCAATCCGTCGTTGACCGCGCCTGCCTCCGCCGCCGCCACCGCCGGCAACAGCAACGGGTGACCGCAACTGTTTTTCGACCGTCCTGCAGTCACGCTCACAGGCGCCGTGGCTGCCGTGGTGATTTCCACCAGTGAAGCCGCCGCCGCCGCCGCCGTTGAGGTCGTCCGCGTCGTGCCGCCTGCCCCCTCCACGCCGGTGCGCGGGGGGACCCGGCGACCGTGGCTTTTCGTTACCCTCCAGTCTCTCTCTGCCGAGCGCCGCCGCCGCCTCCGTCGCTTGGCTACCGCCACCTCCGTCTTCCTGCGGCAGGAAGGACGCGGAGATGCGGCTGCCGTAGACGTCCTCATTGTCGAGGCGGCGCTGGGCACGGCGGGCGCGCGCCGGCGACGGGAAGCGCAGGCACGCGGTGCCCGCGGCCACGCTCAGGACCTTGCCGCCGCAGTTCTCGGAGAGCTGGCGCAGGCGAGCGCCCACCTGACGGGTGTCACGGCCACTCGGCAGGTTGTTGATGTAGAGCAACGTGTGGCAGGGCTGCGTGGCGCGAAGGAGCGTGACCAGTGGGAGGAGGGGAGGAAAAAATACCGATTCGCGTTATCCGTGTGCACCTTGGGTCTGTATTTCGCACGTGCACCCCAGAAGTGCTGCCCCGTTACCTCAAGTTTCATTTATTTCAAGTTTTACTTATTAGGTGTAGCCCTGTGAGCCCATGCGGCTCTTAAGTCAGGTGCAACCGCAACAAACTAAATTTAAACACAGAACATCTTAAAGTGACAACGCGTAACAGAAACATCCTGGAATAAACCAGCAAATATTCCACACACAAAAAAACGTATTAAAACGCTGTGTGCAAAAATCAATGTGGTGCAAGCCAACAACAACAACAACCATAAAACAATTTAGATTAACCATGTTTTCGAATCACCAAAATAAAGCTATAAAAACAATGTAAAAACAGTAATCATAGGAACTGTGATTTTAAATTTCACAATAAACGATATACATAACACGTACGACAAAAAACTGCAGCCATAGCTGGCAGCACGACACTCCCAGTGTATGATGTGTGAGCGAGTCAGCACATGATGAGTGAACCTGTGTATGATGAGTGAATGGGTCAGTGGTTGTACGAGTGTATGATGTGTGAGTGAGTAAGCGCATGATGAGCGAGTCGGTGCATGATGTGTGAGTCAGTGCATGGTGTGAGTGAGTCAGTGGATGGTGCGAGTCAGTGAATGGTGTGAGTGAGTCAGTGTATGATGTGGGAGAAAGTCAGTGTCGGCTCCCTCTGCTCGCGCCGTCGCCCCCCCCCCGACTCCGTTGCCCCCCCCCTGGCTCCGTCGGCCCCCCCCCTGGCTCCGTCGGCCCCCCCCGGCTCCGTCGCCCCCCCCCCAGCTCCGTCGCCCCCCCCCCCCCAGCTCCGTCGCCCCCCCCCCCCAGCTCCGTAGGCCCCCCCCCCGGCACCGTCGCCCCCCCCCCCCGGCTCCGTCGGCCCCCCCCCTGGCTCCATTGGCTCCCTCCGTCAGCTCCCTCGGCCCCCTGCTAGAGATCAAGAGCTGCCCGCTCTCTGCAAGTGCTGCTTTAGCTTTTGACTGCCATCTCACTTGGAATGCGGTCCACTAGGATCGCTGCCCCCTTGCGGAGTGCCTCGCTTACCACTAAGTGCCAACAAGCTGGAAGAGCTGCCACCTCTGTCAGTGCTGCTCCCTTTTAAGTGCTGCCACCCAATTCACGGTTTCCCCCACAATGCTTACCCTTCCTTTGAGTGCTCTGACACCCAAGCTTTCAGTGTAAGCGCCGTTTCCCCTTGAGTGCCACCCTCCGTAAGAGTTGCCCCTCCGTAAACCTTTTGAGTGCAACCCCCTCCCTTGTTAGTCATGACGGTTCTCACCACACAACCGACCCCCCACCTCTACGAGTGCCACCACCCGCCAAGAGCTGTCGGGCTATACGTTCCGCCCCCCTGCATTGGTCACTCCGGGCACCTGGGGCGAGGGGCAGGGCGGCAGGTCATCGACGAGCTCCTCATAGCGGATGGACGTGTTGGCGTGGTGCATCAGTGCGCTCGACGCCTGTGTCTTGTGCACCAGCACCACGGTGAAGCCGTGCCGGTGGCGCAGGTCGCTCATTTCCAGGGCGAAGTTCACGTCGCCTGTGTGGGAGGAGGGGAAGGCGGGGGGAAGGCGCTAGCGAGCCATTCAATGCGAACACCACAACAACCCACCACGATCTGGCCATCGTGCATTATGTTTCACACGTTTGTGTTACGTTGGTCACAGTCTTCATCTCGTCGTGCAAATCGGGTTTGCTTGCCGTCCCTGCCATACAAAGAACCTCAACGTTCTGACGACTTCAAACCACCCCCCACCACTACTAAACTGCGTAACTCATCACCCTCCTATCTTCCTACCTAATTACGATTAGCAGTGCAGTTGTTTAGCAGAGTACGCTATAAACTGCATGCCCCGAGTTAAATACTCAACCAGGGCATCTGAACCAGCCCTGGCCTCCAAGCTTGGCACATAGCCAGTATAAAACCACTAACCGTGAGTAGCGAGGGCTCGCTTGGCACGGAAAAAGGGCCATTTTATTATTATTATGCTCGTTTCGCCAGGGAATCATCACAAGCCAAATTTTCAGGAGGGTCCTGTCAAGTTTTTGCAGGGGGGGGGGGTGGGAGGTGAGGTCCTCACTGGAGATGAGCACGATGGTGGCGGGAGCAGAGTGCGTCTCGGCGAAGCGACGCATGCTCTGCTTAAGCTTGTCGTCCGCCGCGTTCTTCGCCGTCGCGTTGATGTGCACGACCGTCACCTGCGCCGCACACGCATGGCGACAAAGACACCATCCCCACCAGAGCCCTATCAGACTGCTGGGGCAAAGCGCTGCTAGCCAGCACTCACGAAGGCCAGCGTGGCAGACGAGGGGGTGGTGTGGCCACCAATATGCCCCACTGGTGACGTTTGCATACCCCATCAGGTACTCAATTTAAGGCAGGAATCGACCAAGGAGAGGGCCATAGTTCGGGTATTCACCACGAATGTTGATCGTGAACGGGAATCGAACCTTAGTCCGCCAGGTTGGTAGGGGAGCTCGGTACCGACGACACTACTACTCCCCACCAGGCACGCACCCACATGGACATTTGAGTCTCCCGACGAGCGGACGCCACCAGGCGACGTACATTGATTTTCACAGGCTCGGCGGTGGTTCACGGCGAAACACGGTCACACCGATCGTCACTCCCGTTCCATGAAAAAAAAATGGTGTCGGTGGCAACCCAGAAACGGTACTCGTCGAAACGTTGCGTCCGTAACACACCTGTGGGTCCGTAACACACCTGTGCGTCCGTAACACACCTGTGCGTTGTTCAGCTCCTGGATGACCTCGCGCTTCTCCTTGCTGATGTCGCACACGCACAGGAACTCGGCCTCGCGGTGCCCACCGAACAGGCGCTGCCGCACGCGCTGCGCCACCGACATGGCCGAACGGCCCGTGGGCACAGAGCAGTTCTCAATGTCCCAGAAGACGCCGATCGGCGGGAGGCCATCCCTGTCGCCCGCTCCACCCGCGCCGCTCATCCCGCCCAGCGGAGGGAGCTCGGACGCAACGTCTGTGAACGGCGAACGAACAATATGCGAGGTCAAGTTATGGTGGCGAGATGTATGTTAACTACCTCGCCTGGTATATAGGAGGTCGTGGGTTCTCCCCGCGGTTGCGTGGATTTTTTTTTTGGCTGCAATACATCTCCACGTGATAAGCCACTTTGCTGAGATATAATTTGTGGCCAAGGTTGCTTCTAAAAAAAAAAAAATCTATATAGCTCACTGGGCCTTACCTGGTAAAATTTACAGTCCAAAACAATAGATTACCTCGGGTGCACGTCGGAGCGGAGGCCCCGTTGACCAGCGACGGGGGAGGGATGTCGGGCCACACGTTGGAGCCGTGGAGGGGCCCACAGGGGTCGGTGGGCCCCGGCGCGGACCCCCGCCTGGGCTGGGACACGGTCGTCTCGCTCGCGTCACCCTGGGTGGAGGTGAGGGGCAGGCGCAGAGATGGGTGGTGGCGGCTAGGAATTATAACGGAGACGGAGCTGAAGGTGGTGCGAGGTGTGCAATAAGTAAAATACAATACTGTGTGTAAATGATGAGAAAAGCCATTACAAGGAGAAAGACGCATGCAGGTTGGAAACAAATTCGACAAGGCTGCGAGGACTGTACATGCAATGTGGTGGGCACATGATGTGGGCCCTCCCGTTGTTTGTGAACACACCTTGGTGTGAGCTGAATAAATTCGAACTCGCTTTAAGAGGAGAATGCACAACTCAAATGGCTTAATTGCTGGCATGTCGCCCAAGGACCGTAGTTGTACACCCCTGGTTTAAAGTATTTACGGACGTTATTACATTTATCTTTCGGTCAAATTAAGAATGAGTTATTCACGTCACTAACTTATTCACTTAAAATAAACACAATGTGATTCATAAACTTAAAGCGGAACTTGATTTAAACCTTCCGCAGAGAATTGTCAGTGAAGGTTAGATTGCAAACACAAGCATAAACGGATCCCATGCCTAAAGCATCTGCAAAAATAGGGCATTGTGCGTGGCAAGTGTCATTATTCATGTTACATTTTTAAACAATCTTTCTGATGTGACCATGGTCACCACACGTCTCAATCTCCGTGGGCTCTCATCCACTTAAATAAAGGAAACGAAATAAAATCAATTCAGCCACTGCCCTCCGCGCCTACTTTCACGGCCAACGGCGACGTGGCTTCACCATGGGACACAAGAAGAGGAAATCGGAGAAGGAAATCAACCCCATTAAACCAACCCCCAAGGAACACACAGTGGACGCACCTTGCAGTGGCAGCCTTGGCAGTGGTGCCCATGCACGTGTGCAACCGGGATCGGGAGTGAGGGGCAGTGCAGGTGAGCCGACGCGGTACCACCACCACCACCACCACCACCACCAGGAGGAAGGAGAACGTGCTGCCGATGGTGCTCGTCGTGCTTCGTGCAGTGGCCAGGGAACGGCAAGGAAGAGAGCGCCTCGGTGGCGCAGCGCAGCGCGGGGGCACCGGCCGTTGCTAGCGACCCGCAGCCCGGGCAGGCCAGCGCTGCCATCGACGCCAGATAGGATGGCGCGGACTGCTGCCGAGCACGGAGGCCGGACGAGCCGCAGCAAAACTGGCCAGGTGTCAGCAGGCCGGAGCCGTGATCCGCAGGCACTGCCGGCGCCTGGTCCCCCCAGTAAGGGTCCCGGGGGCGGCAGGCGTCGGCGTCAAGGCCACCGCGGTGAAATGGCGGCGTCACGCCACGCATGGCCGTCGGGCACGGCACGCAGGCGTAGCCGCTTACTTGGCACGAGGTGGAGGTGGCGGAGGTGTCGCTGGTGGGTGGGCAAGGGACCTCTTGCGGGGGGCGCGGCGCCAGCATCGTCATGGGGTTCAGCAGGGAGGCGGACACGCGCTTGAAGTTGGCGTCGGCCATGTTGAACATTGCCACAGGCTGCTGCTTGGCCAAGCAGTAGTGCTGCATTGGGACGGCACACAGAGATGAAAGGCCAGCAGCTTCAGCGTACGACAAACCAACAACTGGCCATACTCGCAGGCCCAAATCCACATGACAGAGAATCTCCAGTTTTGTCCGATTTTTGTAGGAAAACGTGCTGCCGTCTCCATCATCAACAATGTAGAAAATCTGTAGGGGGATGTGATATCCTTAAGCCTTTTCATCAAGATGTGAATGTGACGCATAAATAAATTAAATTAATTGCTTACGAGCAAAGGCCTTGGCGAGTATCGACTCATTATTTTCAGGGTCCTTCCGAGACGTTTGGCCAATTACTCTTTAATCTTTTTTTTTGTCTGCATGTGTAATGTAACTTGTGTGCCTGGAGAAAACCCACCACGCATATAGCAGCGGAAGAAAACACCGGGCAAGAGAGCACCCAGCGCAGGCTAGCCGCTCACCGGCGTTTGCGCCACGGGCACGTAGCTCTGCGTTGGGAAGAACAGCGGGCGAGTCGGGGCCACGAGCGGCTGCGTGAGCGACAGGCAGCCGGACAATTGCAGGTACCAGGTGCCGGGATCGGACCTCGCATGGCCCTCGGGGAGGTGGAAGCCACTGCTGCCACCCACGGCCTCTGCGGCCGCGTCACGAGAGGGCAGCCCCCACTCGGCACGCCGCTCCATCGCCGGTCCAGTGCTCATTCATCCTCCGCTCTGGCGCGGGCGTCGCTGTGGGAATGGCTGAGGGTGCACGGTGAGGGGGAAGGGGGTGAGCGGTGACGTGCACAGGCTTGCGACGACCGCTTGTGTTGCGATCGAAACGTCGTGATCTATTAATTTTTTATACCTACGTGACTTTACCGAAAGAACCAAAGAGTAAGTGATTTTTAATGCGCAGAAGCGATCGAGAGCACGTATTTATGCACACATCTTTCGCCAAAACTAATCATAAACAAAAACTCACGGCCATCAATAAACCATATCCTAATGAAAAAAATATTTTCATAGCCGACGTTCTGGCAATGTACTTTCTTCATGGCAGAAAGAAAGGCCTTTTCCCGAACTATTATTATTGTCACCACTGCCATAAACATTGTTTACAAACATTACATTGTAAAGGTGCAGCCCTGAAATGATTTGCTCACACCAGCTTTGTTAAATGTAGGCATTTGTAAACATCAAAAGCAAATTCACTCGTAATATTCAAGTCGCGAATGCATACATTTATTCAGCATCCATTAAGATGCAGTAATTCCTCAACATCATGCAAATGTAATATTGTTCCAATGTGTGCGCGAGGATTCATGCAAAAGGTGAAGATCTAGTCCTGCAATTGCTTGCTGAAGCCACTACTGGCAGAAGGGCCTCCTCTAGACAGTATTTGTTGTACTCTTCTATTGCGGGCCAGACTACTTGGAAGAGGTAGGCATACCCACACTTTACCCCACCACACATGACCTGCTGATCGACTGTGATGTAGCTATTTATATTGCCTGGTGGAAGCCGAGTGGGATTTAAGAAACCGTCTCACTATTTCAACTGCTGTGCCAGGAGAATGAACCAGTGAGCTCTGGATTGCAAGTCAATGTTGCGTGAACAAGTACGCTACAGGAGCATCCCAATAATACTAAGGAATGCATCCGGGAAAGCCTCAAGGAGTCAAGGGTTTCTTTGGAGGGTTCTCTGCATGTTCATGTTTGGCCAATTCGATTTTCATGAGGAGTGTTATGCCGAGAAGAAACAAAAAATAAGTTGAAGATTAACACGAAAAGGGTCACACACACATGGGTTTACGAACCCAATTGCTTTACAGTCGTCAAATGGTCACTCCACAGCCTCGCGGGTTTCACAGTTTCCACCACAGTAAGACTTCGCTCAGGACTTCCATAGGGGTGGGCGAGCATCCAATTCTGTACTGACATATGGGCCGAGAGGCGATAAAGATATTTATTCCTGCATTGTTTGCCTCTTGAATGGCCTTGAAAAAAGGCATGCATTTGATTTGAATGCATGTTTTCAAATCTCTATTAATTGACCAAATCTTGTCAGACCTTGGAAACTAAACAAGGTTCGGCCCAGTTAGCACTTGAAGGGTGACTGTCTGAGTGTACAATGTATTGTAGACATGGGCTGAACCATATCATAAATGCCTCCTAGTTAAGTATTTTTATACTTATTGGCTCATGTATGGGTTTTCTTCAGGTACTCCGATGGCTCACAATCCAGATATTAAATGGTACTTCCCAAACATGTCAATCTCGAAATAAGGAGTCTCAAGTCAGCGAGGTTTTCCTGGGTTAATAAAAGGTATTACAAGGATTGTCGCGATACCATTTTACACAATGACGATATAGCATTCCAAGTGTTTAGAAAGCACACCTCTGTGCACATACAACAAAACACCATTAGCATTTCGCGACATAGTATATAGTTGTCATCTTATCTTAGGTCACCGTCAAGATAAATGATCAAATGTGACCCTACCGACCGAGAGCGCGCCAGTGATGCAGTGATAAGACAATTGTGGATCGATGTCGTCATCATTTGCTTTCAATATAATTTGATAACCTAACACGCGAAGACCGCATTTGCACTTTAGGAAATGCTGATTGTGTTTGCATATGCAGGTGCTTGTGTGTTTTTTTGCATATACACGTGTTTGCGTGTTAATTGAAACTTATAGTACGAGTTTTTCTCGTCAGTACACAGATTTTACATGAAATGTCCCGTCTCTTTGTAATCACATGGTTTTTTTATTGTATATTTCTACTTTACTGCTTCTTAATCTTTCAAATGGCTGGATTAAACACAACAGTTTTGAAACATTTTACAAAGTTACGTTTTTTTTTTCAACCGCTGGTTCACAGCAAACACCGCCGGCATGTCGCTAATGGATGCGATTGATCGGTTCGGCGATTCATTGATCTTCCAATTTGCGTTCGCGCGGGCTTTATCGTGTGGTTCATTAAACAGGTCCCTGCAGGGTGGGCTGGTAGGAACATTGGAATTTTGCGCAATTTTATTTTTACACCCCAACAGCACGAGATTTCGCTTCGTTAAAGTAATGAAAGGGGACGGACGGACGGACACATTAATCTATTGCAGGCTGGTACACTCAGTTTACAACATCGTTCCTACCAGTATTAAATTGCCCCTCCCGATTTAAGTTCCCTCATTAATCAGCGTTTACCAATTTCAAAACGTGCAGAGCTTGCACGTGCGCGGGACATCAACAGTGGGGCGGTGTGGGAATTACTTAATGAGCGGCACGCGTTTGAACGCAGCGGGGAGAAGTAGTGGGTGGTGGTGGTGGTTGTTGTCGCTGCTGAAAGGCCGCGTTAATTTGCTCCCGAAGTTGTTCAAGGACGACTTATTTGTTGTCACAAGACCGTCTTGGAGTGAGGCCCATCGCCTTAAGGAGACAATTAAGTCACCAAAACGCACGTAACGCAGTAATAGCGTTACACAATTGATTGTTACGTAAATTTCAGTTGTGTTAATAGACGAGGCCAAACACAGTTTTTTTTTTAAAACGCACGAAAACAAAGTGAAGTCCAGGTGGTGTCCATGCTCAAACGAAGGATGTCGCTTTGTACAGCCCTGAGGTAGTAGTTGGGAATTGTAAGGTCCTATAACAGGAGCCAGTCCGCCCTTAGAACCGTGGCAAACACACCTATGGACAAAACACAAGCGCTTCAAGTGAAAGAAAAAAGCTAAATAAAAACCTACACAGTCGACGCATTTAAAATGAGGCGTTGTCTTAAAGAGCCAACCGCTCCGTGTTTTTTTTTAGGGCATTCAAAACAATACGGGTACAGTGCGCTACTGTACAAAAAAAAAGCCTCGGGCCTACCGTGGCCCCCCAACATTTCAATTCATTTTCATTGGGGAAGGGGGGTGGGGGAGAGCCAATTTGACCTTTGTTCACCTGCTGATTTGTCGCTTTGCCAGCCGAGTGTCCTACGCTTCGGTTGTAAGTTGTCCCGCGAGAGAGAGAGGAGAGAGAGAGAAGAGAGAACCACCACAGTCTGGCGACGGAGCGAACGCCAAAGGCCGCCCCGGGGCGCTCCCGTCTCCCTGTAAACAGCGGGCGGCTGCCGTAAAGCTCACTTCTTGTCACGTGCTTGTCGCAAAGCCCGCCGCTTTCCACCCCACGCGCCCTCCTTCTGTGGTCGTAAAACGACCGCTGCCGTTAAATTAGGAAATGGCGACCCCCAGTCCACCCCCTCCAACCCCCCTCCAACCCCCCCCGTCCCCCTCCAACCCCCCTCCAACCCCCCCCCCCGTCCCCCTCCAACCCCCCTCCAACCCCCCCCGTCCCCCTCCAACCCCCCCCCCCGTCCCCCTCCAACCCCCCTCCAACCCCCCCCGTCCCCCTCCAACCCCCCCCCAGTCCCCCTCCAACCCCCCCCCAGTCCCCCTCCAACCCCCCCCCAGTCCCCCTCCAACCCCCCTCCAACCCCCCCGTCCCCCTCCAACCCCCCCCCCCCAGTCCCCCTCCAACCCCCCGTCCCCCCTCCAACCCCCCCCCCAGTCCCCCTCCAACCCCCCCTCCAACCCCCCCGTCCCCCTCCAACCCCCCTCCGTCCCCCTCCAACCCCCCCCGTCCCCCTCCAACCCCCCTCCAACCCCCCCGTCCCCCTCCAACCCCCCCCCCGTCCCCCTCCAAACCCCCCCACCTCCTCTGACCCGCCCGCCCCCCTCCGACCCCCCCTGCCCCCCTCCCATGCTCCCCTCCGACCCCCCCCCCCGGCCCCCTCCAACCCCCCCATGCCCCCCTCCAACCCTCGCCCCCCCCGCCGCAACCCCCTCGCCACCCCCACCATCCCCCCCCTCGGTGACGTCATCATCGACACGAGTGTGGCGTCATTAACTTGGAGAATCATCTTCGCGATTGAAATTACGTAATGCCCTAACAATTTGAAACCGACCTTTAATGCCCCAGTCAATTTGAAACCGATTTTTATAAGGTGAAGTCGATGACGTATAATCCATTTGGTGGAATAATATTCGATTAGTCGATTCACTAGTTTAACATTCAGCGGATCGATTGATTTTAGTGGTCGATTCATCGACGTCCAATCGACTTTAAATCGAAATCGACTTGTTTATTTGTGGTCGATTACTCGGGCCCCTTTATAAATGACAGCTGCCCGTCGCCCTGCAAAGGCGGGAAACCCCAAACCTCACGGAAAGCCTCGCCCATCTTAGATTGTGACGTCACAAACACCCTCCCATGATCCCCAGTCCAGCGGCACACGCGGGATCAGAGGACGCGACTATTTCCCCCCTAATTCTTCTTTGGTTCTTTCGGTAAAGTCACGTAGAATGAGAATAAAATAAAATAAAACAATACAATTCTCATAACTGTTTACTCGTTATCCAATCCGGCGAGTTGATTGAACCGTTGATCGTTAGAATACTCGATTACTTAAAAAAAAAATTAATCTGTGTATAATTGTTGCATTGGTATTTATTGTGGTTAGTTATGTAAGATGACAATCATATTCATCACTTTACGGCCTGTGTTGGCTTTCATGACAGAACCATTTTGGGTTGCCCCGATATGAATAATGACTTTCTCACAACCATGAGCCAATGGCGGAAATTCCCTATTTCTATGCCGGGAATATTTTGTCCATAAGATAAGCGCTGTAGGATTCCCACAAAGTGGTCCTCTACACGACCCTATTACCACACACCTAAGCATACTCTGTCTCGGCACGTGTTATTTCCGGTCAACTAAAGAGTCTGAATGACGCATTGCCATAATGCATTTCGTAACACTTGAACAGGTCTGAAGTTGTCTATTTCTTTATCACTGCTGCCTCTTAGTCTGTTACAAATGTATGTTGAGAGTGATCTCAGACAAGCGGAACACAATGCATTTCTTCAGAGACTGCAGATGTTTTTTTTAGCAAAATGCACCACGGCTGAGTGCTTTATATACATTTCTTGCCTGTTATTTGGAGACTCATGGTAATCCGGTCTGCACTATTTTTTCTGTTATGATGTGGGGGGGGGGCGGTTCTTTTCGTAAGTTATAGATTTGATAACTTAACTCGATTCACGTTTCCATACCTATCAACCCCTTATCAATGCCTACGTTATTACAGAGCAATTCAGACCTTATTAGTCACCCCGTTCATCCTACAAAGTCACATCACAAGGTAGAAACACAAATAGACATTTATTTTTGTGTGTGCCCGTATTGAAACGGCTGTACGCCGTATGGACCTGAAAACTAAATTCCCCTGTAAAAGAATACCGGGTAAACCGAATGGGTTGACAGGTATGATATAGTAGTGTAGTGTATAGTGCAGTGTATATCATACCTGTCAACCCCTTATCAGTGTCTACCTTAGGGGCCGTCCATAAATGACGTCACGCGATTTTGGACGATTTTTGACCCCCCCTCCTCGTCACACGGCGTCATAAAAAGTCAGACCCCCCCCCTCAAATATGACGTCACAAAGCTCTGCCCCCCCCCCAAAATAAACATGCTTCAAATCGCTTTAAACTATTGTCATTGTAGTGCGTATTTAATGTGGTGCTGCACTTTGATGTTGTAGAAGAAAACATTTATAAAAAGTCTATTTAATTAATTAGAACGTGTTGTCTATATTTATTTAAAGTTGCGCATTTTTACGTGACGTCACATTTCTCAACCCCCCCCCCCGCGTCACACATCGTCACAAATATCTGACCCCCCCCCAAGGTGCGTGACCTCATTTATAGACGGCCCCTTATTACAGACCAATTCCGACCTTATTGGTCACCCCGTGCCCCTTATAAATCTGAACGTTCATCCAACAAAGTCCCATCGTAAGGGAAAGGAACACAAATATATATTTTAAAAAATGTGGTCATATTGAAACGGCTGTACGCCGTATGGACCTGAAAACTCAATTTCCCTGTACAAGAACACGGGGCTGGGTTTGATACGGTTCGAATTCTAGATTTGAAGCTTTCGTGACTGCAAGGATTCATACTCTTTGGGTTTATTCGGTAAAGTCACGTAGATAAAATAAAACAAAATAAAAGAAAACAATTAAATCACGACGTTTCGGAGGCAACACAAGCTTCCGTCTTCAGGTGGAATAGTCAACGCAGAATATCTGTGTCAGGAGCACAGTTCAGAGACGACCGGGATTATATACAGGTTAAGGGAGGGGGGAGGAGTCAGTAAGGGGGGCGTGGGTGGGTGGGAGGGCTGGGTTAAGCAGCCTTTTGATAGACTGCTGCGGGTAATAACCACTTCGCACTGCACGAGATTGGGTAAAACCCACCTTTTGTTATGCTGCGTGGGGGTCGGGGGGAGGAAGAGACCTGCTTCATGTGTACATCTCTATTTTTTTAAAGTGGCGGCAAACGGTTGTTCAATTATAAGGTAGTTAAAGTTTGATATACAACCACTGACTTGATTTATAACATCTTCCCAGTGATTGCTCAATTTGAAACCATCCTCTCAGTTGAAGTTGTGTCTGTGTTTGTAAATCTGGATGGCCTCGTGGACAAATCTCTGATAATAACTGGTAGGTTTGCAGAGCACCTTGGTATCGGGGAAAACAATATCATGATCACCCACAACGTTGTAACAATGATCAGCCACGGCAGAAGAATTCGTTCTGCCGTGTTTCAAATCTGATTTGTGCTCGCGAATTCGGCCAGAGATATGTCGCTTCGTCTCCCCAATATAGCAGTCCCCGCAGGTACAACTCAATTTGTAAACACCGGGATACTGTAAGTCAGGAATAACATCCTTTACTGACGGGATCAGATCACGGATTTTGTGCACTATGTTGAACTGGACCTGGATTTTGTGTTTGTTTAGAATTTAGAAAATCTTTTTAGTAACGCCTGCTATGTATGGAAACGTGATGATTTTTATCGGAGTGTCAAGTGGTTGTTTCTGTATGGTGGGAGAAACAGCTTGGCGGATGGTACGGTCATAATAACCGTTCATCTTGAGGGCCAGATGTACGTGTTTTAATTCACTGGTCAGGTGGTGTTTGTCAGAAATGCAATGAGCCCTATCGATTAACGTTTTGATTAGAGAATTCTTCTGAGTCGGGTGGTGGTGGGAATCAAGTTTCAAGTAGGAGTCTGTGTGGGTGGGCTTCCTGTAAACAGAATGTCCCAAAGAGCCATCAGGCCTTCTCTCAAACAGGACATCCAAGAATGGTAGCTTGCCATCTTTCTCCACTTCGATGGTGAATTTGATGGAAGGGTGTCTGGAATTGATGTGGTCTAGGAAAAAGTTCAAAGCTGGGAGGCCATGTGGCCAAATTACGAAAGTGTCATCCAGATATCTCTTCCACAGGGAAGGGCTGAGGGTGGATGTCTGGATGGCGTCTGATTCAAATTTCTCCATGAAAACATTGGCTATCACTGGTGATAAGGGAGAACCCATGGGGGTACTCTCATTTTGTTTGTAGAAGGTGCCATTCCAAGTAAAGTAGGTGTTGGTGAGGCAGTGCTTAACCAATGCCGGTACATCGGGGTCAAGTCCATGTTGGACCAAATCTTCGATTATTGTGATGGTATCAGGTACTGGGACCTTGGTGAACAGAGAGACCACATCAAAGCTGACGAGGATATCATCAGGAGACAGTACAATGTCCTTAACCATAGAGACCAATTGGGTTGAGTTAAGTACTGCTGAGCTGGTCTTGCCAGTCAAGGGAAGCAGAGTATCTGACAGAAAACGGGCCAGCTTTTATGTAGGTGAGTTGATAGTGGACACGATGGGTCGTAGTGGGGTACCTTCTTTATGGATCTTGGGAAGACCATAGAATCTGGGAAGTCTTGCAGCGGAGGGTTTTAGGGAGGGACGTTTGGTTGGTTCAATTAGGGAAGTTGAACTAGTGATGATCATCACTGATGAAGTTGAACTCGTGATGATCATCACTGATGAAGTTGAAATAGTGATGATCATCAGTGATGATCATCACGAGTTCAACTTCATTAGTGATTATCATCACTAGTTCAACTTCCCTAATTGAACCAACCAAACGTCCCTCCCTAAAACCCTCCGCTGCAAGACTTCCCAGATTCTATGGTCTTCCCAAGATCCATAAAGAAGGTACCCCACTACGACCCATCGTGTCCACTATCAACTCACCTACATACAAGCTGGCCCGTTTTCTGTCAGATACTCTGCTTCCCTTCACTGGCAAGACCAGCTCAGCAGTACTTAACTCAACCCAATTGGTCTCTATGGTTAGGGACATTGTACTGTCTCCTGACGATATCCTCGTCAGCTTTGATGTGGTCTCTCTATTCACCAAGGTCCCAGTACCTGATACCATCACAATAATCGAAGATTTGGTCCAACATGGACTTGACCCCGATGTACCGGCGTTGGTTAAGCACTGCCTCAACAACACCTACTTTACTTGGAATGGCACCTTCTACAAACAAAATGAGGGTACCCCATGGGTTCCCCCTTATCACCAGTGATAGCCAATGTTTTCATGGAGAAATTTGAATCAGACGCCATCCAGACATCCAACCTCAGCCCTTCCCTGTGGAAGAGATATGTGGATGACACTTTCGTCATTTGGCCACATGGCCTCCCAGCTTTGAACCTTTTCCTAGACCACATCAATTCCAGACACCCTTCCATCAAATTCACCATGGAAGTGGAGAAAGATGGCAAGCTACCATTCTTGGATGTCCTGTTTGAGAGAAGGCCTGATGGCTCTTTGGGACATTCTGTTTACAGGAAGCCCACCCACACAGACTCCTACTTGAAACTTGATTCCCACCACCACCCGACTCAGAAGAATTCTCTCATCAAAACGTTAATCCATAGGGCTCATTGCATTTCTGACAAACACCACCTAACCAGTGAATTAAAACATGTACATCTGGCCCTCAAGATGAACGATAATTCTGACCATACCATCCACCAAGCTGTTTCTCCCACCATACAGAAACAACCACTTGACACTCCGATCAAAATCATCACGTTACCATACATAGCAGGCGTTGCTAAAAAGATTTCCAAAATTCTAAACAAACACAAGATCCAGGTCCAGTTCAACAGAGTGCACAAAATCCGTGATCTGATCCCGTCAGGAAAGGATGTTATTCCTGACTTACAGTACCCCGGTGTTTACAAATTGAGTTGTACCTGCGGGGACTGCTATATTGGGGAGACGAAGCGACATATTTCCGACCGAATTCGCGAGCACAAATCAGATTTGAAACACGGCAGAACGAATTCTTCTGCCGTGGCTGATCATTGTTACAACGCTGTGAGTGACCATGATATTGTTTTCTGCGATACCAAGGTGCTCTGCAAACCTACCGGTTATTATCAGAGATTTGTCCACGAGACCATCCAGATTTACAAACACAGACACAACTTCAACCGAGAGGATGGTTTCAAATTGAGCAATCACTGGAAAGATGTTATAAATCAAGTCAGTGGTTGTATATCAAACTTTAACTACCTTATAATTGAACAACCGTTTGCCGCCGCTTTCAAAAAAATGGAGATGTACACATGAAGCGGGTCTCTTCCTCCCCCCGACCCCCCACGCAGCATAACAAAAGGTGGATTTTACCCACTCTCGTGCAGTGCGAAGTGGTTATTACCCGCAGCAGCCTATCAAAAGGCTGCTTAACCCAGCCCTCCCACCCACCCACGCCCCCCTTACTGACTCCTCCCCCCCCCCGAACCTGTATATAATCCCGGTCGTCTCTGAACTGTGCTCCTGACACAGATATTCTGCGTTGACTATTCCACCTGAAGACGGAAGCTTGCGTTGCCTCCGAAACGTCGTGATTGAATTGTTTTCTTTGATCTTGTTTTACTTTATCTACGTGACTTTACCGAATAAAACCAAAGAGTACGGTTCGAATTCTTTTGTCACCTAACCAATATGGCTACCGGCCCCCCTACGGTCCCCTGACCAACATGGCCGCGACAGGTCACGTGTCGCGGTGACGTCAAAGTCGTTATATCCATCCCCCTCCACATCATCCCCCTCCTCCTCATATGGGCGCGGAGCTCCGATCGGCTTAAACATTAAACTGGCGGAACCCGGCCGCGCCAATTACAATTTTGCTCCCCTCTCTCTCTCACTTCATCCACAATCTGAGAGCGCTCCGAACATCGGTTCGGGGCGATGGACGACTTCTGTAGCGTGGACGGCTCCGATCCCTTATGGGTAAGTGCGTGTTTTGTCTCGCCGGTAAATAATGTAACAAAAAAAAACAAGAAGATGTTTAATGGAATTACGTTGATGGTATTTTTTTGTTACTAGTTTACGCCTTCTTCCCAGCACCCAGTAATCGTGTCCACGTGCAACAGGGTCTTGTCAGTGGCACGCGCGTGTCCCTATGCGTCCGGTAATCTTCATAAATAGCACGTGGCGTATACGCGTGAGATGTAAGTACAGTACAATTGTGTGTGTGTGTGGTGTGTGTGATATAATTGGTTAATTTCAGTGAATAAAATACCGTAGTTATCACAACGATAAACCCTTGCTCTTTTGTCATTAGCACCGCTTGGGTTGAAAGGCCTCGCTCGCTTCGTTCAAGTCATGATGCAGGGCGGGGTGGGTGGGTGGGTGGGGGGGGCTTGTGTGACCATACTTCACCACACTGGTAGTTGGGGTTAAAGGAGGAGACGGGCCCCAGGGAGGTTTTAGGGGGCGCCAGGAATCTGTTCGGATGTAACTCGTCCACTGACGTTGTCAAAGAGCCGTGACCGGGGAATAGAACGCGGGTGCCCCCCGCTAGCAACTCTCGTTACATACAGCACGGCTCGCCAACAGCACTTGCCCCTACAGTCTGTTACAGGCTGCACGGGGGATCTTTGTCTTTGTAAATGTGTGGAGCGCCGCGCTACGAACCCGGCCACCCGAGTTCGATTCCCGCTCACGGCCACCGACAACCACCCAGTGGCGATTGTCTTTAACCGGTCCCGGCCCCCCCCCCCCCCCCCCTTCTCTAGGTCGACTCGTCTTCAAATGAGTACCTGGTACGCGATGTGTAAACGTCGTCGCTGGGGAGACAAAGGCGGCCGGGCGTGTTTTGTCGGCCGCCCACCCCCCCCTTCCCCCCTCGTTGTGCCACAGTGCCGGCCTTCAAAGGGCGCTTACTCGCCGACGGCTCCTCGTCCCCAACATTCTTGTTGCAGCCTTATTAGAGAGAGGGTGGGGAGAGATCGTTTGTCTTTGTGTGCGACTCTGCATCGTCGGGTTTATTATAATACACGCTGCCGTCCCGTCGTGACATTGGCGAATTGGTAGCGCTGCGGCTTGTCTCGCCACGCCGACAAACGGGGGGGGGGACCCCCCCACCACCACTTATCGCCGTACAGTAGCGGTGGACCGATGATGACCCATCACCAACATCCGGCTATTCACGTACGTGTGGGACCCTATTTTTAAACAAACAAAAAAACCCCTATTGAGTCACATTGCTTACGACCTCACCCGGCAACAACAACAATAACAACAACAACTAGCATTAACAACCAACGATCATAATCCGAGCGTTATCCCTGAACCATAAGTTTTATTTTAAAAAAAACCACGTTTCTTATCCCCTAAACCGAACTCGTATCCGTTCACCTAACTCGACACTTCACCTTTTACACGTGTGTGTGTATATATACAGTACAGTATATATGTATGAAAGCCCACAACTGGGGCTTAACTTTCATTTAAAACTCGATGTTTGCGCGCACGTGTTTTCTTTGCTTTTCGAAGCCGTGGTCACCGCGAGAATCGTGAATTGCCGATCCAACAGAACGGCAGCCTTTTTGACATCTCCTCTCGCAGCGAAATCAAAGGTGCGCTCAGTGGACCCAGGCCAGTCTTGATCGGGACTCTTAAGGTAAATGAGAGGACCTTATCGGTGCAAGGAAGTCTTTATCAGGAAGCAGAGTTCACGTCCCCCGACCCTCGCAGCAACATTTGATAACCAGGAAGCGGGACCGAAACGTTGGACAGCTCTCGGCTTTTCAGTTTATTGCCATTGGCGTGCGGGGGATGGTTGTGGTCACGTTTCGTCGGTTTCCCGGCGATTTTGCACGGCAGGATCCGCGGTTTCTTACGGGGAGGTCCGTGGGGACCGCGTGAGCTGAAACGGCACAGCATTAACAAGACCAAAGGCATCGATGTTGCAGAAAAAAAACGATTGCGGAGGGTGGTAATCGATACGATTGGACTTGAGAGAATGACTAAAAGCGACATGAATTCTACCAAGACTTGACTCGCATGCCCACAGGTTTATTAACACTGGTTTCTCCTAACCGTAACAACGCCACGGATCCCTACACCCACAACTCCGTGCCGTATACGGTTAGGTGTCGGCTATACATAACCATATATTTAATCCTGCACCAAACCATAGCCCTAAGCTATCTTACCCAGCCCTGCAACCAAACTCTATCCCTACACCTAGCCCTGTCCACTACTTAACTCGAACTCGGCACGAACCATAACCCGGTGCACATTACTAAACATTGACCAGATAGCGAAAAACCCCATACAACCGTATTTATTTTTTTGCGTTGGTATTATATATTCGTGGCATTTTAATTTGCTTGTTTAAGCGTACTTGAGCTTTGTGTACCGCTAAATTATGCATGGGTGTGGTTCAGAATGCAGCTGGTCGATTTATCTGCCCTGTAAGGACGATCATCACACCTGCTATGTAAGAATTTGTTACTGCCTTTCAGTATAAAATACTTGCAACTCATTGCCCCGTGCAGCAATCCATTGAAATGCTCTCCCATCAGCAGACTCTCATCTCCTGGTGTGTCCCAACTTAACCCCATCTGACCGGTGCCGGCCTGACTTTTTGTTAAATTGTCCCACCAAACATTACGCAACCACCTTCCGCCACATGTTACCGTGCCGTTGTGTTCGTTTAAAGTTGCGCCCCATAATAAAAGAGCGACATTTGCGTAAGGATGTTTGCAAAACGAGGGGGGAAGGCTTGGGAAAATTGAGCGTTGTGGCAAGTGAACGTTGGACGGTTCATAATGTGACCGAATGTGTCTTGATGGTGGACGGAACGCGCGGTCGAGGCGTGTTGTTTCACGCTTGTGAGAAGAATGTTGCACGATTATTAATATTTGAGAGCGCGGTGATGTTATAAGGCTTATTGTAAGGCCTACGATAAAAGGCGAGTGTGGTAAATGATTGAACGCCGCTCGTTTAATATTTCAGTATGGTGTGAAGTGTGACTATAGGCTTGTTGTAAGGTGCCTCTGAGTGATTTTTCAACAAAAGGCACAACATCCGTGTTATTTAATTACTTATTTTTTTATATGCTAGAGGGAGGAGGAGGGGGGTTCGGGGCCAGATTCCTCACCATATGAGCCAAATCCCAAAATCTTAATCTGCGTTTGTCGGTAACACGGGCCAGTTCACGGAAGAGTTTTTAATTGAGAAATCTGTGGGGGCACCTCGAAGTAGTACTGTACTTGTGTCTGGATCTGCGCTCGCCTCCCTCTTCCGCAGATTTCTTTATTTTAAAAAAAATTATATTGAAAATGTGTAAATGAGCCTCCTCTCTATCAATGAGCCTCCTCTCTATCAAGCCACATGCAGCTCGTGTTGCCACAGGTCGGCAACCCCCTCTCCGTCGCTCATCGGATTTCTCCAGGTTAAATAGAGATTCTAATTCTGACATAAAGTGCACGCCAACTGTATGTGCACATCCATTGTTGATAATAATTACAGCACTAAGTCAATCCACTGCTGGGTGAAGGCCCTCATGAGGGTTGTTCGATCGTACTTTACCATGCTGGTTCGTCCAGTTTGGTGAGAGGGGAGTGCCTAAGAACGGTTACGATATAATTTCTTTTTTGAAATATTTCACCTGAGAAATCCCTTGAGATGAAACATGGCATTTGCAAGGGTGTGCTGGGTGTATCGCTCGCTCGCTCACCATTGTTGAATTTTTTTGTTCATAATTGTGTTCATTGTGCAGTGCGATAACCCCCTGTGCCACCGCTCTAGCCCCCATGTCATTTGCATGAATGAGTTGATATTGCGCATTGGCATTTCTGTTGTGTTTGTGACGTGCGCTTGCCGTTGTTGGCGTTCTGCAATTTTACTAGAAGTTTGGACGCTTGTTGTTTTTGCCTGTGTGTCGCTTTTGCATGCTTGTTTACTACGTAGCATTGATACATGCAGCAACACAACGTGAGCTACTGACGCAAAGCCTGAGGCTTGGAGCCAGAGCATGCGACTCCCTACCTGCCAACAAGGCAAACGTGGCTTTATAACAGGCAGGACGGGAGGTAGAAACGTGCGTTTCAGAGTATTTGTCTCCGATAAATTTCCACGTGGATAAGCCACTTCGTTGAGATATCACTTGCGGCCTGGTCGCTTCTGAAAAAGATCTAAGCAGCTCAATGGGCCAAAAAAAAGTTTATTTTATAGTTTAGTTTACTCTTCCGTATGCTGGCTGCGTGTCGTATACAATTGATCAGCTGTCATTGCCGCTTGAATTTGATAATAACATTCTTCGTGCAAACACACAGTGTGTACGGCTCTGAAGGTGTTTTGTAATCTGATCATTGAACAACATTTACAATTAATCACAGGAAGAGCAAGCGTTTCCCATCGATATTTGACTGCACCTTATTGTCTTGTAATTTGGCAGGTGTGTGTAGTGTCGCGGTTTGCGCGCTGCGCTACGAATCTGGCGATCCGAGTTCGATTCCCGCTCACGGGCAACACCAGTGACGATTAGCTGAACCGGTCATGGGCCTCCCCTAGGTCGACTCAGCCTCAAATGAGTACCTGGTGCGGTGTGTAAACATCGCCACTGGGGAGACAAAGGCGGTCGGGCGTGGTGCTGGCCACCCACCCCCTCGTGTACCGTTTCGGCCTTCATAGGTGCTCGCTAACAGCACTTGCCCCTACAGTCTGTTAAGGCTATACGGGGGATCTTTATACTGGTAGGAACGAAGTTGTAAACTGAGTGTACCAGCCTGCAATAGATTAATGTGTCCGTCCGTCCCCTTTCAATACTTTAACGAAGTGAAATCTCGTGCTGTTGGGGTGTAAAAATAAAATTGCGCAAAATTCCAATGTTCTTACCAGCCCACCCTGCAGGGACCTGTTCTTACTGCGCGGAGCGTATTATAATCCGGAGTATACGGCAATTGCCTCGGTGATATGCTGCCTATCTGTGCAAGCGC